GGAGAATTAAGAACAAAAAATTAATATCATAAGAAGGAACAAATTTTGAGAAAACAGAAAATAAAAAACAAAATGAAAAAAAAAAACAAAAACTATGTTAGGAAAACGTTTACAATTTTGACGAAAAGTTCAGTTTTAAAAACCCGAAAATATGAAACAAAGAAAAATCTCAAGAGAAAAACTCGAACTTTTGACAAGAAAATTTTGAGGAAAATGGCAAAATCTCAATAATACACTTTAGGGCCTTAAGAAACATTCCAATATATTGAAAAGAAATTAACACCTTCAAATAGAATCAGATTTTAAAATAACAGAAAGTCTAATATTTAAAAAATTTTGAAAATCAAAAAACCGAGGTGTTGAGGAACGTATAATTCGAAAAATCTAAAAAAAATTAAAAATCGGGAAATCAATTATATGTATCAAAAAATCGTAAAATCGAAGAATGGAAAATTGAAAACGTAAAATTTTAAAAATCGTAAAATTTGATAATAAAAAAAAAACTTAAGAATCAAAAAAATCGAAACAGTTGAATTTTAAAAAATCTAAAACTGATTAACACAAAACTGAACATTTGGGAAATCGAAAAATTGATAAATTGACAATCCAGAAATTAATATATCGAAAAAACAAACATTTTAAAAATCGAGAAATCCGAACACCTAAAATCGGAAAATTCCAAAAACGAAAAATTGCAACATCAGAAAATTAAAAAATCAACAGGTAAAAAAATTGTAAAATGGGCAAATGGAAAAGTCGAAAGTATGAAATTTAAAAACTCGAAAAAACGAGAAATTGAAAACCTAAAAGTTAAAAATCGAAATACTTATTGAAAAATCGGAAAACTGAATAATCGAAAAATCGAAACATTGAGATCTCAAAATTCGGGAAAAAAATTTAAAACCAAAAAACCGAAACAAGTCGAAAAATCAAAAGATAGAATCGAAATATCAAAAAAGTGAAAAATCTAAAATTTAAAAATTTTAAATATCGAAAAATCGAAAATTTAAAATATCGAAAAAATAAAGAATCGCAAGAGAAGTAGGTACTCGAAATTTTAATGCGAAAATTTTGAAAAAAATTAATCTAAAATAAAACAGAAGTCTCAAAAAAATTATTAAGTACAAAAAATTCAATAAAAAAAAATGTAAGACTTAAATTTTCCGAAAATATAATTAAATGTCAAAAAACATTGAAAAAAGAGAACAAAAAATATGTTAGAAAAACGTTCACGCTTTCAATTGAGAGTGCGGCTTAAAACACAGCAGAAAATCAATACGAACGTAAGAAGGAACGGACAGATTTTGAGAAAACAGAAAAAAGAAAAGAAAAGAAAAAAACGAAAACTGTGGGTATTAGGAAAACCCTTACCATTTTGGCCAAAAGCTCAGCTTTAAAAACACGAAAATATGGAAAAAAGGAAAAAACTGAAGACGAAAAAAGTTCGAATTTTTGGTATGAAAATTGCAAAATCTCAACAATACACTTTGGGGCCTTAACAAATATTCCAAAATAAATAAAATAAAACCAGAATTTAAAAAAACAAACATTTCAAGAAATGGCTGAGAACAAAAATGATTCAATTAACAAAAAATTAAGACTTAAATTTTGAAAAAACAGTTAAAATCCAGTAAAAATTTCGGAAAAGCAAATTAAAAATATATGAAGAAATCATTCACGAATTCGATTAAAGCGCAGCTTAGAAACACAGTTTTTGAAAAAATAAAAGGGTAAATGTAAAAAAAAAACAAAAACAAAAATTTTAATCCAAGAAAAATAACAAAAAGTCAATATTGTAAAAAGGAACGTCCAGATTTTGAGAAAACATAGAAAATAGAAAAAAAAATGGAAGAAAAAAATCGAAAACAATATTAACAAAACCTTTAGAATTTTGATCAAAATCTCGGCTTTAAAGCACAAAAATATGAAAAAGAAAGGAAAAATGTCGAATAAAAATTGAATTGAAAATTTTGAGAAAAAAGGTAAGATCTCGATTATACACATAAACAATCAAATATTTTAACAAAAAATTAACATCTTGGAATGAAAGCAGAATTTAAAATAAAACGTCTCCCAAAATTATTAAGAAGAAAACATCAGTTAAAAATTGTAAGAAATAAATTTTCAGAAAACTTTCAAATTCCAAAAAAGAAAACGAAAAATATATTAGGAAAACGTTCAAGATTTCGATTAAACGTGCATTTTAAAAAATAGTTTTTGAGAAAACTGAAAGGAGCGAAAGTCTGGAAAAAAAAACAACAATTTTAATCTGCTAGGAAAAACTCTACATAGTTTTCACAAATACAATTTTAACTTGTGAGAAAATTTTCAACCAAAAATCAATATCGTAAGAAGGAAAAGTCAAGATTTTGAGAAAACAAAAAAATATATCAGAAAAATTAGAAAATTTGACCAAAAGCTCAACTTTAAAAACACGAAAATGTGAAAAAAAAGGAAAATTCTGAAGAGAAAAACTAGAATTTTTGATATGAAAATTTTGACAAAAATGGTAAAATCTTAACAATAGGTACAACATTTCAATATATGGCTATGAAATGTAAAATAAACTGAAAGACTCAAAAAATAACTGAGAACAAAAAAATTAAATTAACAAAAATTTAAAGAATTAAATTTTGAAAAAACAATTAAAATCCTAAAAATCTTCAAAAAAGCAAACGAAAAATATATTAGGAAAACATTCACGAGTACGAATAAAACTGAGGCATAAAAACACAGTTTTTGAAAAAAATCAAAACAAAGGGAAAAAAATGTGAGAATGGAAAAAAACAACTTTTCAAAACAAAATTAACGTCCAGGTTTTGAGAAACTTTTGAAAATGGAAAAAACATCTCAAAAATAACCCGAAAACTATATATTTGGAAAATTTTTACGATTTTGACCAAGATCAGCTTTAAAAACACAAAAATATGAAAAAAAAATATAAATAAAAAAAATCTGAAGAGAATAGAATTTTGATAAAAATGGCAACATCCCAAAAATACACTTTAGGGCCTTAACAACAATTCCAATATATTGACAAAAAATTAAAGCTTTAGACAAAAACAGAATTTAACTATTAAATAAATAATAATTTAAAACACGATAAATACCCCAAAAAAATAATTCAGTACAAAAAATCAATTAAGAAAAATTTGAAGAATTGAATTTTGAAAAAATGTTTAAAATACAAAAAATCGCTAGGAAAGCAAACCAAAAATATATTAGAAAAATGATCACGATTTAGATTACAAGTGCATCTTTAAAAAACAATACAAAATCAATATCGTAAGAAGGGACGCTCGATTTTGAGAACACATTAAAAATAGAAAAAAAATCTAGAAAAAATAAAAATCGAAAATAATATTAGGAAAACCTTTACAATTCTTAGAAAATAGAAAAAAAAATGTTTAAATAAAAAAACGAAAACTATATCAGAAAAGTTAGAAAATTTGACCAAAAGCTCAACTTTAAAAACACGAACATGTGAAAAAGAGGAAAATTCTGAAGAGAAAAATTCGAATTTTTGATATGAAAATTTTGAGAAAAATGGCAAAATCTTAACAATAGGTACAACATTTCAATATATGGCTAAGAAATGTAAAATAACATGAAAGACTCAAAAAATAACTGAGAACAAAAAAATTAAATCAACAAAAATTCGAGGAATTAAATTTTGAAAAAGCATTTAAAATCCTGAAAATCTTCAAAAAAGCAAACGAAAAATATATTTGGAAAACATTCACAAGTACCAATAAAACTGAGGCATAAAAACACAGTTTTTGAAAAAATGAAAACAAAGGGAACATCTAAAAACCAAAAATAGAAAAACAAAAATTTTAATTTACTAGTTTTTCCTAGTTTTTACAAATAAAAATGTGAGAATGGAAAAAAACCCGAAAACTATATATTTGTAAAATTTTTACGATTTTAACCAAGATCAGCTTTAAAAACACAAAAATATGAAAAAAATATAAATAAACAAAAAAGTCTGAAAAGAAGAGAATTTTGAGAAAAATGGCAACAGCTCAAAAATTCACATCAGATCCTTAACAAATATTCGAATATATAGACAAAAATTAACATCTTAAAATGAAAGCAGAATTTAAAATAACATAAATGTCCTAAAAAAAAAGAGAACAAAAAAAGATAATTCGATTAACAAAAATTTGAAGAACTGAATTTTGAAAAAATATTTAAAATACAAAAAATCGCTAGGAAAGCAAACCAAAAATATATTAGAAAAATGATCACGATTTAGATTAAAAGTGCATCTTTAAAAAACAAAACAAAAACAATATCGTAAGAAGGAACGCTCGATTTTGAGAACACTTTAAAAATAGAAAAAAAATCTTAAAAAAATAATTGAGAACAAAAAAACTTTTAACCTCGAAAAAAAATTAAAAAAAAATGAGAAATTCTGTAGATACATAATCGTTTTTTTAAGCGTAAATTTTGTCATTTCAAAAAAATAGTTCATATACAATATAATAAAATCATCGCGCATCGTCTCAAAACAAATATTAAGAACAATATTTTTTGTTGTGTTTTGTTTCAGAAACTCAGACTTTGAATAAGTACTTCCATTAAAACAGCAACTATTGTAGCTAAATGGTCCTACAACATGGTACGAATGTACACTACACCCATCAACAACATAACTAGTTACGTCGAACACAATATATTTTACGACAATATTTACTTAGAAAGTGTTAATCGTTAGCAACAGCGCACCAGCTCACCATAAAACCGCCCATAAAAGTAAACAACAAACCAGAAAAAACCAATAATACCAACACGTGTATCCTCAACTCAATTCTAAAAATCACTCCGTCCTCTTGCCAAACTAGATATATTTATTACCTTTCGTCATCGATCACCGTCACCTCCAAACCCACCCTCCCCCAGGCAACCCCAACACCTCCACCCCAATCCCCCAACCCCCAAACCCCACCCCACACCCCGCACCCCACACCCCCACAAAAACCACACCTCCACCCAACATCTTTACTTACAATTGCACAGTAATTAGCAGTTACGCAACTCAATAACAAAAAAACAATACATCAAGCGGTACTAAATCAGGCGAATAACGCGTCGCAACTGGCAGCGAAATAGTTTTTGGCAGCGGCGGCGATCGGCGATTGAAGGGCGCTCACGTGACCATGGTCTTCAACGATCCCCAAATGGGCTTTCCGGGGGCGGCTTGGGGGCGGCGAAGACGCCGTCGATGACGTGCACGATCCCGTCGCTGCAATGGTAGTCGGCGCGGGAGACCCGGATGGGTTTGTCGCCGTACACGACGAAGAAGGTGTTGTTAGTGTGGAGGATTTGGAGGTCGAGGGTTCCGGCCAGGCTCTCCAAGGTGGTACCGTTGTTCCTGGCACTGGAAGCGGCCAGACTTGACATGGTGTGGCGGCCGGTGGAGACCACCACATGTCTGGATAGCACCTCCACCAGTTCGTCGTCGGAGTACCCGAGGTACTCCGACCAGGATTGGTCCCTAGGGGCGAAGTACGTGAAGACATTATTCTCGAGTTCGAGGATTTGGTTGATTGGCCCTTTTTCCCCAATGTGGAAGGTAGTGTTAAGAAAAGGGTCAGAAGTGACTTTGTACAAAACGGAAAGGTACGGGAAAAGTCGGGGGGTTTTGGCGATAGCCAAAGGTCTCGAAATCAAGTGAACAACACCATTGGTCACTGGAATGTCAGCTTGAACAATCTCCGCAAGAACTTCCCCTTTCGGGTGGTCACCATCTCCATGGACTGTGTAGCTTCTGACGAAAAGTTTGTTCTTTAGTGACAATAAAATCACTACTATGTGGATATCGTCACCGTTGCAAGAGGTTTGGTAGACGAAGTTCTTCCGTGAGGGTCTGGTGAAGAGTACCAGATTGGGTACCACATGACCGTCGATCCGATACCCATCCACGTCTTCTAGACGACGGTCGTACTCTTCATAATCCACGGGAATAAAAAAAGTGTGTCCACCTGTCTTCCGAAACAGATCTTCTTTCTGGTGGAGGAGTACCTTTTCGAAGAAGTGGGACACTTTCCGCCCTCTTAGCCTCCAGTGTTGGTAGTTTTGCAGAAAATCCAGCGCCGATGGGTTAGCAAAAGGGGTTTGAAACTTTGGGTCCAACACTCGATCGACAACGTGTAGTACCTAAGTACCATATGGTGTAATTAGTACACAAACACCTCCACTTCCTCACCTGTTTGAAACTCTGCACGGTTTTACAGTTCGCCACATAGTCTGACTTGTTTTGTACGATTTTGGCGTTGTTGAGGTAGTACCCATCCTCCGACACGCTTACCCATAGTGGTGGGTTATCTTCCTGGGCGCTCGCAATGGGTCCGGACCCATTCTCCACCAACTGTTTCAAGGTGTAAGGATGGTTGATTACATGGTACAAAACTAAGTGCTTTCCAGTCTTCCAGTCGTACCCATTGAATGCTGGGTCTTCGGGCGCGATGAAAGTCACACTCCCGTTAATCAAATTCTGTGTTGCTATGGTATTGGATGTGATCATCTTCCTGTAGCCCGAAAATGCGCCTTCTTGCATCACCCGGTCATAAATGGTACCATTGTATTGGTACGACCCAACGATCAACATCATCAAGATGGCGCGCGTCGCACACATTTTGCACACTTGTTTGGACTGACGACTATGATTTTGGTTTGATTATTTTCGGGGCAAGGTCGGGTTATCGCTAGTTTTTTGTTTGTGCGTAAGATGGGAGGATGAGGTTTCCGGAAGTGGATTACGAGATGGAAATTTTGGAGTGGATGGGTTAATTTTTATGGGATAAAATCTCATTTTATCTCATTTAGAATGTCAAAATATTGAGACAAAAATCTCAAAATCATGCAAAGGTGTAGAAATGTTTGAAAAAAAAAAAATAAGAATATCATAAAAAACTGCAGATTTTGGACAAAAAAAAAAATTAAGACAAGAATTTCAACATTAGGAATATCTTGGGAAAAATCTCAAGACAACAAATTTTGAAGAACAAAAAATTTTAAGAAACTACGAAATTCTTAAAAAAATTAAGAAGTTAATTGAGTCGAGAAAAAAAAATTAAGACGAAAATTTCAACATTCAAAATCTCTTGGAAAAAATCTCAAGACACAACAAATTTTCAACAAAAAAAATCTAGGAAACACTGTAATTCTTAAAAAATTTGAGAAGTTCATAATGAAGCTGAGATAACAAAAGAACTGTAGGGATTTCAAAACAATATTTTCATGCCAAAGTTTCAATATTGGGAATATCCCGTGAAAATTTTCAAAACATACAACAAATTTCCAACAAAAAATTTTAGAAACACCGAAATGTTTAATAAATTTAAGAAGTTAATAATGAAGAGAAGACAACAAAAGAATTGTGAGGATTTCAAAAATGATATCTACAAGCAAAAATTCCAACATTTAGAATATGTTGGGAAAAAACTGAAGACATACAACAAATTTTGAAGAACAAAAAAATTTAAGAAACAATGAAATTCTTAAAAAATTTAAGAAGTTAATTGCGTCGAGAAAAAAAAATATTAAGACGAAAATTTCAACATTCAGAATCTCTTGGAACAAAATCTCAAGACATACAACAAATTTTCAACAAACAAAATCTAGGAAACATTGTAATTCTTAAAAAATTTGAGAAGTTCATAATGAAACTGAGATAACAAAAGAACTGTGGGGATTTCAAAAAAATATCTTCATGCCAAAGTTTCAGTATTGGGAATATCCCGTGAAAATTTTCAAACGTTTCAACAAATTTCCAACAAAAAAATTTTAGAAACACCGAAATGCTTAACGAATTTAAGAAGTCAATAATGAAGAGAAGACAACAAAAGAATTGTGAGGATTTCAAAAATGATATCTTCATGCAAAAATTTCAACATTTGGAATAAGTTGGGAAAAATCTGAAGACACAACAAATTTTGAAGAACAAAAAAATTTAAGTAACAATGAAATTCTTAAAAAATTTAAGAAGTTAATTGCACCGAGAAAAAAAATATTAAGACGAAAATTTCAACACTCAGAATCTCTTGGAAAAAATCTCAAGACATACAACAAATTTTCAACAAAAAAAAATTAGGAAACACTGTAATTCTTAAAAAATTTGAGAAGTTCATAATGAAGCTGAGATAACAAAAGAACTGTGGGGATTTCAAAAAAATATTTTCATGCCAAAGTTTCAATATTGGGAATATGCCGTGAAAATTTTCAAAACATTAAACAAATTTCCAACAAAAAAATTTTAGAAACACCGAAATGTTTTATAAATTTAAGAAGTTAATAATGAAGATAAGACAACAAAAGAATTGTGAGGATTTCAAAAATGATATCTTCATGCAAAAATTTCAACATTTGGAATAAGTTGGGAAAAATCTGAAGATCTACAACAATTTTTGAAGAACAAAAAAATTTAAGAAGTTAATTGCGTCGAGAAAAAAAATATTAAGACGAAAATTTCAACATTCAGAATCTCTTGGAAACAATCTCAAGACATACAACAAATTTTCAACAAACAAAATCTAGGAAACATTGTAATTCTTAAAAAATTTGAGAAGTTCATAAAGAAGCGGTGATAACAAAAGAACTGTGGGGATTTCAAAAAAATATTTTCATGCGAAAGTTTCAATATTGGGAATATCCCGTGAAAATTTTCAAAACATACAACAAATTTCCAACAAAAAATTTTAGAAACACCGAAATGTTTAATAAATTTAAGAAGTTAATAATGAAGATAAGACAACAAAAGAATTGTGAGGATTTCAAAAATGATATCTACAAGCAAAAATTCCAACATTTGGAATATGTTGGGAAAAAACTGAAGACATACAACAAATTTTGAAGAACAAAAAAATTTAAGAAACAATGAAATTCTTAAAAAATTTAAGAAGTTAATTGCGTCGAGAAAAAAAAATATTAAGACGAAAATTTCAACATTCAGAATCTCTTGGAAAAAATCTCAAGACACAACAAATTTTCAACCAAAAAAACTAAGAAACACAAAAATTCTTCAAAAATTTGAGAAGTTCATAATTAAGCTGATATAACAAAAGAACTGTGGAGATTTCAAAAAATATATATCTTCGTACCAAAATTTCAATATTGGGAATATCCTGTGAAAATTTTCAAAACATACAACAAATTTCCAACAAAAAAAATTTTAGAAACACCGAAATGCTTAACGAATTTAAGAAGTTAATAAAGAAGATAAGATAACAAAAGAATTGTGGGGATTTCAAAAATGACAACTTCATACAAAAATTTCAACATTAGGAATATGTTGGCGAAAATCTCAAGGCATACAACAAATCTTAGAGAACAAAAACTCTTAAGAAACCATGAAAGTCTTAAAAAAATTAAGAAATTAATTATGAGTCAAGAAAAAAATATCTTATGACGAAAATTTCAACATTCGGATTCTCTTGGGAAAAATCACAAAACATACAACAAATTTTCAACAAAAAAATCTAAGAAACACAGAAATTCTTAAAAAATTTAAGAAGCTCATAATGAAACTGAGATAACAAAAAAACTGTGGGGATTTCAAAAAAATATCTTCATACAAAAATTTCAACATTTGGAATAGCCCGTGAAAAATCTTAAAAGATCCAACAAATTTTCAACAAAAAAATTTAAGAAACACTAAAAATTTTTAAAAATCTTAGAAGTTAATAATGAAGGTAAGATAACAAAAGAACTGTGGGGATTTAAAAAAAATATCTTCACACAAAACTTTCAACATTAGGAATATCTTGGGAAAAATCTCAAGATAACAAATTTTGAAGAACAAAAAATTTTAAGAAACTATGAAATTCTTAAACAAGTTAATTATGAGTCGAGAAAAAAATATCTTAAGATGAAAATTCCGACATTCGGACTCTCTTGGGAAAAATCTCAAGACATACAACAAATTTTCAACAAAAAAATCTAAGAAGCAGACAAATTCTTAAAAAAATTAAGTTCGTAATGAAGCTGATTTAACAAAAGAACTGAAGAGATTTCAAAAAAATGTCCTCATCCCAAAATTTCCATATTGGGAATATCTTGCGAACATTTTCAAAACATACAACAAATTTTCAACAATAAAAAATTTTATACACACCGAAATGCTTAACAAATGTAACGAGTTAATAAGAAGATAAGATAACAAAAGAATTGTGGAACTTTCAAAAATGATATCTTCATACAAAAATTTCATTATTTTGAATGTTGGCAAAAATCTGAAGACACAACAAATTTTGAACAACAAAAAATTCAAGAAACATTGAAATTCTTAAAAAATTTAAGAAGTTAATTGAGTTGAGAAAAAATATCTTAAGACGAAAATTTCAACATTCGAAATCTCTTGGGAAAAATCTCAAGACATACAACAAATTTTCAACAAAAAAAATCTAAGAAACAAAAATTCTTAAAAAAGTTAAGAAGTTCATAATGAAGCTGATATAACAAAAGAACTGTGGGGATTTAAAAAAAAATATATCTTCGTACCAAAATTTCAATATTGGGAATATCCCGTGAAAATTTTCAAAACATACAACAAATTTCCAACAAAAAAAATTTTAGAAACAACGAAATGCTTTACGAATTTAAGAAGTTAATAATGAAGATAAAATAACAAAAGAATTGTGGGGATTTCAAAAATGATATCTTCATTCGGAATATTTTGGGAAAAATCTCAAGGACATCCAATATATTTTGAAAAAATAAAAAAAATTCTAGGACATACTGATGAAATTCTTAAAAAAAATCAGATGTTAATACTGAGCTGAGGTAACAAAAAAATTGATAATTATCTTAAGATGAAAATTTCAACATTAAAAGTCATACAACAAATTTTGAAAAAAAATCTAAGGAACACTGAATTGTTAAAAAATTTATGCTGTTTGTAATGAGCTGAGGAAAAAAAGTAGGAATTTCAATAAAAAAAATCTCAAGACGAAAATTTCAACATTATGAAATCTCCTAGGAACATTTTATCTAAAATTGAAGAAGCACTGAAATTCTTATAAAAAGGTAAGATGTTAGTAATGAACTCAGACATAAAAAACTGTAGCAATGACAATAAAAAAAAATCAAGACGAAAATTTCAACATCCGGAAATCTCTTCGGGAAATTCTCAAGAAAAACAACAAATTTTGAAAAAAAAATTTGTAAGAAACATTGAAATTCCTAAAAACGTTAAAATGTTGGTAATCAATTGAGAGAAAAAAATTGTGAAGATTTCAAAAAAACAATCCAAACACGAAAATTTCAACATTTAGTATTTATTCAAAAAAATCTCAAGCCACAACAAATTTTGAAAAAAAAAATTACAGTCACTTAGATTTTTAAAAAAGTTACGACGTTAGATTACTAACATCTTTTTTATCATCTCATCAGAGCTGATAAAACCGTGGAATTTAAAGTAAAACATCTTAAGCGGGAAATTTCAACATTTGGATATCTCTTGGCAAATTCTTGACACAACAAATTTTGAAAAACAAAAAACTCTAAGAAAAACTGAAATTCTTGAAAAGTTGAGAAGTTAGCAATGAGTTTAGATAAAAAAAAAACCTGTAGGGAATTGAAAAAGAAAAAACATAAAAACCAAAATTTCAAAATTCGGAATTTCTTGAGAAAAATCTGAAACAAATTTAGAAAAAAAATCTAAAGAACATTGAAATTTAAAAAAATAATAAGATGTTAGTAATGAGCTAAGAAAAAAAGAGTGGGAACTTAAAAAAAAAATCTTAAGCCGAAGATTTAAACATTGGGAAATCTATTGAGAAAAATTTCAAAACACACAGGAAATTTTTAAGAAGAAATTCTAAGAAATTATTAAAAATTTAAGATAATAATTAATTGAGATAGCAAAAAGTCAGAGTTTTTTTTTATTAAAAAAAATATATATATCTTAAGACGAAGATTTCAATATTCGGGATCTTTTGCAAAAAATCTCAAGACATACAACAAATTTTGAAAAAAAAAAATCTAAAAACACTGAAATTCTTAAAAAAGTCAAGAGCTGAGACAAACAATTTAGAAAAAATTCTTAAGACAAAAATTTCAATATTCGAAATATCTCAGAAAAAAATCAAACGCTTAATCCACATAATACATTTGAAAAAAATAATCAGGATTCTGAAAAAAGTGATTTAGAAAAAAAAATTGGTTTTCCGAAAAATGTTAACACGTGAATAGCAAAACTGAAATGAAAAAACAAACTGGGGAAAAATTGGGAATTTTGAAGGAACGATCCAAAAACCAAAATCTTAAAATTTTGAAAAAAGAATCTCAGGAAAAATGAAATACACAAAAATTCAAAGTCTTTGGAAAAATGTTCATGTCAACAAGACAGCTGAATTTAAAAAAATGCGAATAATATGAAAATACAAAATGTTAAAACAAAACTATTAAATTGAAATCCAGAAATATCCAAAGTCTCTAAAAAGATGTCAATGTGTCAATAACGAACCTTGCTTTCAAAAACCTTCAAAGTTTGTGTATGGGTTTTTACGAACATCTACGTCCTTATTAGATTTAATTTGAGAGGATTTGTACATTAATTTTCGTCTAAATACTTTTTTTTGATAGCATAAACCTTGACTTGATGGTTTAGAATATTCAGACTTTATCTATTTTTCGTTTTTTTTTTTTTTCTTAATGTTGATTACAACACCAAAACCTGCTTCTCATAATTCCAGATGTGAATGTACTAAATAGAAAGCAAGAGATTACAAGTCCCCAAACTCCCTTTTAGGGCCTCAGTGAACCCTAAAATGCCCATTTCATTCAAATACAACTCCCCAAACCTCCACCACCTCTCTCAAACAACCCAAATCCGCACCATTACGCAACCCATATTCACATTCCACATTACATAAACACAAACACATTCCACACTTAATCTCGCACCTAAACCTGCACCCACTTTCACTTTATCTCCATCCGTTCACCCAATTTCGCAACCCATTCCCGCCCACGCCTCACCCATCCCGCCAAACCGGCCCAGACAGCTTGGCAACGGCCAAAAATAGCCCCGAATTCCCATCCGCTCCGAAATAACCCACTCTAAAATTTCCATCTCGTAACCCACTTCCGGAAGCCTCATCCTCTCATCTTACACACAAACAAAAAAGTCGCGATAACCCGACCTTGCCCCGAAAATAATCAAACAAAAATCGCTTAGTCGTCATTCCAAACAAGTGTGCGACATGTGTGCGACGTGCGCCATCTTGATGATATTGGTCGCTGGGTCGTACCAGTACCATCGTACCATTTACGACCGGGTGATGGAAGAAAGCGAGTTTTCCGGGTACAGGAACATGATCAAGTACAACAGGATAGTGACGCTGGATTTGTTTTACTTGGGTGTGACTTTTTTCGCGCCGGAGAACCCAGCGTTCGAGAAGTACGACGGGACGGCCACTGGGGACCACGTAATTTTGTACCACGTGGTCAACCAACCTTACACGTTGAAGGAGTTGGTGAAGAATGGGTCTGGACCCATTGCGAGCGCCCAGGAAGATAACCCACCGCTGTGGGTGAGCGTGGCGGATGATGGGTACTACCTCAACAACGCCAAAATCGTACAATATAAATCGGACTATGTGGCGAACTGTAAAAGAGTGCAGAGTTTGAAGCAGGTGAGGAAGTGGGGGTGTTTGTGCACTAATTACACCATATGGTACTTAGGTACTACACGTTGTCGATCGAGTGTTGGATCCGATGTTTCAAATCCCTTTCGCTAACCCATCGGCGCTGGATTTTCTCCAAAACTACCAACACTGGAAGCTAGGGGGGCGAAAAGTGTCCCACTTCTACAAAAAGGTACTCTTCCACGAGAAACAAGATCTGTTTCGGAAACCAGGTGAACACACTTTTTTTATTCCCATGGATTATAAAGGGTACGACCGTCGTCTAGAAGACGTGGATGGGTATCTGATCGAAGGTCATGTGGTACCCAATCTGGTACTCTTCACCAGACCCGCACTGAAGAACTTCGTCTACGAAACGGCTTGCAACGGTGACTACATCTACATAGTAGTGACTTTATTGTCACAAAAGAACAAACTCTTCGTCAAAAGCTACACAGTTCTTGGAGATAGTGACCACCAGAAGGGGGAAGTTTTTGCCGAAATAGTCAAAGCTAACATTCCTGTGACCAATGGTGTTGTTCACTTGATTTCACGACCTTTGGCTGTGGTCGACAAAGCCCTTCGCCCTTTCCCTTATCTTTCCGTCTTGTACAAAATCACCGCTGACCCTTCCCTTAACACTACTTTCCATATTGGCGAGAAAGGGCGGATTAACAAAATCCTGAAACGCGAGAAAGGTCTCTTCACGTACTTCGCCCCCAGAGACCGCTCCTGGCCCGAGTACCTCGGGTACTCCGACGACGAACTCATGGACATCCTCTCGAGACACTTGGTGGTCTCCAGCGGCCGCCACACCATGGCGAGTCTCGCCGCCTCCAGCGCCAGGAACAACGGTACCACCTTGGAGACCCTCGCCGGAAACCTCAAACTCCAGATTCTTCATACTAATAACACCTTCTTCGTCGTGTACGGCCACACACCCATCCGGGTCTCCCGCGCCGACTACGAGTGCAGCGACGGGATCGTGCACCTCATTGACGGCGTCTTCGCCGCCCCCAAGCCGCCCGCGAGTACCCCGGCGCCGCCCAAAACCTCGTTTTGGAGAACGTTGAAGAACATAGTCACGTGAACGCCGCCGCCGTTTGGTCACCAAAAACTATTTTGTTGACGGAGGTGACGCGTTGTTCGCCTGATTTAGTACCTCTTGATGTATTGTGTTCTTGTTATTGGTTTGTGTAAGTGATCATTGTTGGTTCAGTTATAAGTAAAGATGTTAGGTGGGGGTGTGTTGAAATCCCCACTTTTGACTTTTTTTTTTAAATCAGTTTATTTGGTGTTAGTTTTCGGATAATTTTGAATTTTTTTGAAATTCATTTTTCTGCAGTCTTGTTTTCTTCAAAATTTATTTACCGTTTGAAGGTCTTGTAATCGTTTTCCCAAACTATTTCAGACATCAAATTTTGGTTTTGGTTTTTGATGTTTTTTAAATTTCAACTTCGGTTTTGTTTAAATATTTTGAATTTTTAGGAAAGACTATGTTTTTCAGATCTTGAAATTTGCTTAACAATTTGCTGCAAATTTTTTTTCAAAATTCCACTTTTTTTCAAACTTCTCGCTTTTTTTTAAATCTTCAGTTTTTTAAGGGAAGTTCACTGTTGTACGCTTTTTTAAGATCTTAAGTCTGAAGTTTTTTTTAATCTCAACTTATTTAGTAACATCTTAAGATTTTCAGAAAATTCAAAATTGTTAGTCCTTGAAATTATTAGCATCGTTTTCCCAAAATTTTCCGAATGTTGAAAGTTTTGTCCTGAGATATTTTCACAATTTTTTAATGTGATTTTGAATTTTTATTAACTTCAGTTTCCTCTGAATCCTGATTTATTTTTCAAAGTGCTTTGTATTATGCTTTTTTAGAATCTTGTGATTTTGCCCAAGAGATGTTGACATTTTTATTTTAAGATTTTCGTTTTCCAAATTACAAGTTTTTTTATTCTAAATTTTCAGGATTTCGATCTTTTTCCAAATTTGGTGTAAGCCTTTTTTAAAAAGGGTACACGAATGTTGAAAAAAAATGACATTCTGAAGAATAATTATATCCAAAAATTGAAAAATTAAAAATTGAAAGATAAAAGTTGGAAAATCGGAAAACTGAATAATTTGTAAATGAAAACTCAAATGCATATCGTAAAAGCGAAGGAACAGCAAAAATGAAAAATTGAAAAACCGCAAATCGAAAAATTGTTAAATAAAGGAAAAATTGAAGAAACGAAAAATTAAAAAAATTGTGCGGAATTGTTATTTATCGCTGCTTTCTTCTTTATAGAGGTTATCAGAAAACAAAAATCGCGAAATTTTATGCATATAAATAACAACCTTCGGCTAATTTTTTGTCATGCCACGAGCGCTGAAGCTATTATGACATTACGAATTATTAAACGCCATTTAAAAAAAATCCTGTGTATACCTAATCAATAAAGCATTTTAGGTCACTCTTATAATTAGCACTGCAGCAATTCCGAGCGCACTTCTCCTCCGATTCCGCGTTTCGATAGTGGAAACATTCAGACTTACAATCGGCTGCAAAGATTTAAATTGAGGACTTGAAGTCTGCTGGAAAAAAACACATTTAAATTGCTAAAGCTGTTAGCATTTTGCGGCGAACAAGCTGGCATGTAGGTACACTGGAACATTTGATATGCAAATTTTGGTCATTAAATTTAGAATCATGTTGAATGCACGACAGTGGTAACACGAAGGTTTCAATGTACCAGACCCCAATAATTACAAAATGTCATTTTGCTAATTTTAATTTGGCTTAATTTGTTTTTTCTTTGTCGCTGGACTCGCGCTATGCGTGATTATGAAATCTGACGTGACGGGAGAATTTTCTCGTTTTTGCATATTTTTGCGTTTCGAGAACCGTCCCGAACATGCCACAATGCTCACCTGTGTTTATGTGATTTTACAAAATTAAGAAAAAAATTTTAAAAGTCAAGACCGTCTATAAGCTATTAGTTTATTATTAGTATTACCAAGTAGCATCAATTTATCTCAAGGTTCCATTTTTTTTTCATTCTTGTTTTATGATTAATCGTCCTCGTGTCGACTCGATCTTCATATCCAGTTTTATTTTGGAATTGTATTCCAAAATATTAATTTTTGCTTACTTCTAATGCCTTCATCCTTGAAATTCTAATTTTATTGGTGTTTTCGTTGATTTTTTTGTGACAGTTATTTTGCAACTAAAATACATATTTTTTTATAATTTTATGGATTTCATTTTCCTTCAGAAACATGTTTTTTTTAAAGACCTGAATTACTTTTCAAATTCCCACGTTTTTCTCAAAATCTTGACCTTTTTTTCAAAATTTGTTTACCCTTAAAATATTTCAAACACAGAAAATTTTCTCGGGTTTTATCTTTCAAAACTATTTTTCTTTAATTTATTGTTGTGATTTTGAATTTTTATGAATTCCACTTTTCCACAGATTCCTATTTTTTTTTCAAATTCTCCCCGTTTTTTCCCAGATTCATTATTAACTATTTTCTGAGGAAAATTTATTTTAATGGATTTCATTTTCCTTCAGAATATTGACTTTTTCAAAAGTTGTGCGCCTTTTTTAAGATTCGGAATTTTTATCCCAAAATTCCCAGTTTTTTAAATTTTACCGACATTATTCACGTCCAAGAGTTTGAATTTTTGTGCATTTCACTTTTACCCAAAATCCTGTTTTTTTTTGTTTTCTAAATTTGGTTACCCTTTGAAGATCTTGATATTGTTTTTTCAAACTCATTTTCTTAATTTCGGCTTTATAATTAATTAATATATTACTCCTAACATTTTTCTAGAGATTATGAATTTTTATTAATTTCACTTTTCTTCAGAACCTTGATTTTTTTTAAAGTTTGTAGTTGTAGTCTTTTTCACATCTTGAGTTTTTTCAAAATTCCCACTGTTTTTCTTCAGGTTCATTATTAACGTTTTTCTGAAGAAAATAACGTATGGCTTTAATTTTTCTTCAGAATGTTTGACATTTTTTTCAAAATTTGCTATGTGTCTTTCTTAAGATCTTGATGTTTTTTCAAAGTTCCCAGTTTTTTAAATCTCACCTTTATTATTTACATCCTAACATTTTTCTGAAGACTTTGAATTTTTATGAATTTCACTCTTTCTCAAAATCTTGGTTTCTCTCAAAATTTGTTTACCCTTTGAAGATTTTGACAGTGTTTTCCCAAAATATTTCAAATATCGATTTTTTTTCTTGAGTTTTTTTTCAAAAGGCTTATTTTTTAAATTTCGGGCTTATTATTAATTCATTAACATTTTTCTAGAAATTTTGAATTTTTATGAATTTCACTTTTCCACAGAATCGTGATTTTTTTTTCGAGGTTCAGATAACGTTTTTTAAGGAAAAAAAAATCGATTTTTGAAGTATTTTGGAAAAATAGTGTAAAAATCTACAAAGGGTAAATAAATTTTCAAAAAAACAAGATTTTGGCAAACGGCAAAATTCATAAAAATTCAAAATCTTTAGAAAAGTGGAAGATGTAAACAATGAATGTGACATTTAAAAAACTGGGAATTTAAAAAAAAAAAATAGATTTTAAAAACGCACACAACAAATAGAAAAAAAGATTATGAAGAAAAATTGTTTCCTTCAGAAAAACTGGTAGAATTGCCAGAATTTGTGTAAAATCTGAAGATAAATGTCGACATTCCGAAACATTGAGCAAAATTTCAAGATCGTAAAAAGGCATACAATGAATTTGAAAATACATGAAAAATTGAAAAAGTGAAGTCCATAAAAATTCAAAATCTGTAGCAAAATGATAATGTATCAATAACAAAGCCGAAACAAAAAAAAATGAGTTTTTGAAAAAAATCGCAAGAAAAAAATTCGATATCTGAAATATTTTGGGTAAACAATGTCAAAAATTTTGTAAAACGGCCAAAGTTTTTAGAAAAAACGAAACTTATAAAAATTCAAAACCTCCAGAAAAATGCCTACAAAAAAAAGTGAAAGTGAGAATTAAAAAACTGGGAATTTTGAAAAAAAAAAACAAAAAACCACACAACAAATTTTGAAAAAAATCAAGATTCTAAAGAAAATTGCAATCCAAAAAAAAAGTATTTTCATCGGAGAAACGTTAACAATGAAGCTGGGAAAAAATTGGGGATTTTGAAAAAAAATTGAAGACATTAGGAAAAATCGACCAAAATCTCTAGATCATAAAAAGGCATACAACTTTGAAAAAAAAATACATTTTTATGAAATTTATACAAATTCAAAATCTTCAAAAAGAAAATTGCAATCCAAAAAAAATTATTTTCATCGGAGAAACGTTAACAACGAAGCCGGTAAAAAATTGTGAAAAAACACCAAAATTTTGAGAAAAAGTGAAATTTATAAAAATTCATAATTTTCAGAAAAAAGTGCAAGAAGTAAATAATGAAAGTGTGATTTAAAAAAATGGGAATTTAAAAAAAAAAAACAGATTTTAAAAAAGGCACACAAATTTAAAAAAAATCAAGATTCTTGAAAAAATTGAAATCCATAATTTTCTTCACAAAAATGTTAACAATCAGATGGGAAAAAATGAGGAATTTAAAAAAAAATCTGAAGACATAAACGTCAACATTCGTAAATATTGACCAAAATTAAATCTATAATTTATTTTTTCAGAAAAACATCAATAGCGAATTTGGAGAAAAACTGAGAATTTTGAAAAAATCTCAAGATGGTAAAAAGTAATAAAAAAATAGTTTTTCAAAAACTCCCACGAAAAAAATCGATTCGATCCATTTTTCTTATTTTCAATTTTTCGATTCATTACCTTTTTTCTTTTTCAAGTCTCTCGATTTTTAATTTTCCAATATTTCGATTTTTCGTTACAAAAAAATGTTTTTGAAAAAAAAATTCTAGAAAAAAAAATCGATTTTTGAAATATTTACAGAAAAGCACGGTAAAATCTTCGGAGGGTAAACAAATTTTGAAAGAAGATCAAGATTTTGACAAAAAAAGAAATTCATACAAATTCAAAATTTCGATTCGATTCATTTTTTCTTCTTTCCAATTTTTCGATTCATTATTTTTTCGATTTTCGAGTTTCTCGCTTTTAATTTTTCAATGTTTCGATTCTTCGTTTAAAAAATCGTTTTTGAAAAAAATTCCTAGAAAAAAATCGATTTTTGGAATGTTTAGGGAACAAATTTTGAGAAAAAAAACAAGATTTTGGCAAAAAATGAAATTCAAAGAAATTCAAAATTTTCACAAAACTGCAAGAAGTAAATAATGAAGGTGATACTTAAAAAATTGGGAATTTTAGATAAAGGACAGATTTTAAAAGTGGCACACAACAAATTTTGCAAAAATCAAGTTCTGGAAAAAAATGGAATCTATAAAACATTTTTTTTTTCAGAAAAAGGTTAACGATGAAACTGGAAAAAATGTGGAAATTTGAAAAAAAATCTGAAGACATAAATGTCAACATTCGGAAATATTGACCAAAATTAAATCCATAAGTTATTTCCTTGAGAAAAACGTTAATAATGAATCTGGGGGAAAATGGCGGGAATTCTGAAAAAATTTCAAGATCGTAAAAAGGCATACAACAACATTGAAAAAAAAGATTTATTAATATATCACCAATAAAGCTGAAATAAAAAAAGGTTTTCAAAAACTACCAAGAAAAAAATTGTCTTTGAAAAAACATTTGTAGGAAAAAATTCGATTTTTGAAATAGTTAGAGAAAACCATGTTGAAATCTTCAAAGGGTGAACAAATTCTGAAAAAAGATCAAGATTTTGACAAGAAGTGAAATTCATAAAAATTCAAAATTTCGATTCGATTCATTTTTTTCTGTTTCCAATTTTTCGATTAAAGTGGAAGAAGTAAATAACGAAGGTGAGATCTAAAAAATTGGGAATTTTGAAAAAAAATCGAGATCTTAAAACCAGCACACAACAAATTAAAAAAAAACATGATTCTGAAGAAAAATTAAATCCATAAAAGGTAATTTTCTTCAGAAAAACGTTAATAATGAAGCTGAGAAAAGCGCGAATTTTGAAAAAAAATCTGAAAAAATGAAAGTCAACAATGTCAAAATATTTAAAGTGTAAACAAACATTTTTTCGTTTTTTCAGTTCTTTGATTTGCAATTTTTCGATTTTTCACTTTTTCGTTTTTTAGTTTTTTAATTTTTCAAGTAAAAATCAGTCAAAAAATGCAACAATTGCAAAACTATAAAAACGAAAAATCACGACAAATTGAAACATTTTTAAATATTTAACTCGCTTTCTATATTCAGGTGTCACGAAAGATCGAAAAATGATTATTTGCGGTTGCAACGGTTACATCGATCTTCCGTTTCAGTATTCATAATAAAGCACATAAGTCATATAGGAATGCACTGGGGTCACGTTTTCCAAGTAATATCGCCGAGAGAATTTACGATTTATACCATGAGCTGAATTTATATGAGTATAGGTTCGACTTTATTCACTTAAACCCACTCTGTTCGACATTCTTTCCTCCGATTTTTCGCCTGCACAAAATCCCCAGATTTATGCTAAGTACACTCCAACTCGTAAAAGCGATATTTTAAATTCGTTAAAAACCTCCAAAGTAATCGCCGCATTTATTCCTCAACACCACAAACCCAATTCACTCTCTCCTATTTTCCGTTCCTGCCATTCCCCCCGCCCCACCCACCTCCTCCCGAAATAAAACCGCACGTTCCGATCATCCGCCGATCACGTGTGGAAATTCCCTCAACTCCCGATGCTCCTCCGAATAAAGGAGCGACCCAAGTTATGACAAAATAACTTACGTCGGCGCTCTTCTTCGCCTGGAAGAGGTAGCAATACAGGAGCGTGTCGTTGTCGTCCCTCATCAGATACAGGAAGGTCGTGGGATCCTGGTCGGCCTGGGAGAATCGCGTCACTTGCCATATTTTGTGCGAAAATTGCAGCTCGAAGTCGGGATTGTAGGCCTGCAGGATTCCGTCTTCGATTCCCAGACTCAGCTGAAACAGAAAATGGAGTCTCACACTCAACTGAAGAAGAAATTGAGCTCTCAGACTCAATTGAAACCGAAAGTGCACTCTTTGCTGAACTTTGTGCTTAGTCCGGACCATGTGCGGAGGATCGGGCCGCAGAACACGGCCGAGGTGGAGAAGCTGAAGCTCAAGAATACGGAGTATTTGTTCGGGGTCATGCCGGTGGCGAGGCTTTTGTGAGTTAGAACAGTTTTTTTTCATTATTTTAAGCAATAACTGTCAATCACACGTCATTGAAAAGGATAGTAAGTAAATTAAACATAACTAGGAAAATTCTCTATAAAAAGGAAAAAACACTTTTCTTATTCTATTTCCGCGCTTTGTTTTCGAACAAAAAATTGCAATCCCAAAAACAAATTTATAATTCATTATTATTTTTCTATTAGACTAGATTTATTTTACATTTTCCTCAGAAATTATTCCATTCTGGGGGCATTCAACTTTTATTTTTGTTTTGGTTCGTCTTTCTGCATTTTGTCGTAGTTTGACAAACGATCTGTCTATTTTTGTATGTTGTATCTTGTGACGGATTTTTCCTATTTTTTCCTGGATATTCTACATCTATATACAATATCAGTTATTTCCCTTCTTTCTAAGTTCTGGATCTGTTTGTGGTTTTTCTCGACTCTTTCTTCCACCTTTGTCACATTACTTTTCTTCTTTAGATATTTTCCGTGGTGTTCATCAAAACTTTTAGTTTCGTCTATGTTCTATTCGTGTTTTTTAGTTTGGTGCTTTTTTTATCATTGTGTTCCTTTTTTTGATCTTGCTTCTTGGATTCTGATGTCTTCCTATACTTTGTCGTAGTTTGACAAAAGTTGTTTCTATTTTTTAGACTCTATTTCATTCTTCTTGTTTTCTTCTGTCTATGATTCGTCACATATCCGTTGGTTTGAATTTATCCTTGTACCTTGTGACGGATTTTTCCTATTGTTTCTTGGTATTCTACATCTATCTCCAAAATCAGTTATTTCTCTTCCTTCTAAGTTCTGGTTCTGTTAGTGGTTTTTCTCGACTCTTTCTTCCACCTTTGTCACTTTGCTTTTCTAGTTTAGATACTTTCTGTGGTGTTCATCAAAACTTTTAGTTTCGTCTATGTTCTATTCGTGTCTTTTAGTGTGGTGCTTTTTTTATCATTGTGTTCCTTTTTTTGTTCATCCTTCTTTGATTCTGATGTCTTCCTATACTTTGTCGTAGTTTGAGAAAAGTTATTTCTATTTTTTAGAATCTACCTCATTCTTCTTGTTTTCTTCTGCCTATGATTCGTCACATATCCCTTGGTTTGAATTTATCCTTGTATTTTGTGACGGATTTTTCCTATTGTTTCTTGGTATTCTACATCTATCTCCAAAATCAGTTATTTCTCTTCCTTCTAAGTTCTGGATCTGTTAATGGTTTTTCTCGACTCTTTATTCCACCTTTGTCACATTATTTTTCTTCTTTAGATATTTTCTGTGGTGTTGATCAAAACTTTTAGTTTCGTCTATGTTTTATTCGTGTTTTTTAGTTTGGTGCTTTTTTTATCATTTTGTTCCTTTTTTTTTTCTTGCTTCTTTGATTCTGATGTCTTCCTATACTTTGTCGTAGTTTGACAAAAGTTATTTCTATTTTTTAGACTCTATTTCATTCTTCTTGTTTTCTTCTGCCTAGGATTCGTCACATATCCCTCGGTTTGAATTTATCCTTGTATTTTGTGACGGATTTTTCCTATTGTTTCTTGGTATTCTACATCTATCTCCAAAATCAGTTATTTCTCTTCCTTCTAAGTTCTGGATCTGTTAGTGGTTTTTCTCGACTCTTTCTTCCACCTTTGTCACATTACTTTTCTTCTTTAGATATTTTCTGTGGTGTTCATCAAAACTTTTAGTTTCGTCTATATTCTATTCCTGTTTTTTAGTTTGGTGCTTTTTTTATCATTGTGTTCCTTTTTTTGTCCTTGCTTCTTTGATTCTGATGTCTTCCTATACTTTGTCGTGGTTTGACAAGAGTTATTTCTATTTTTTAGACTCTATTTCATTGTTCTTGTTTTCTTCGACATATGATTCGTCACATATCCGTTGGTTTGAATTTATCCTTGTATCTTGTGACGGATTTTTCCTATTGTTTCTTGGTATTCTACATCTATCTCCAAAATCAGTTATTTCTCTTCCTTCTAAGTTCTGGATCTGTTAGTGGTTTTTCTCGACTCTTTCTTCCACCTTTGTCACATTACTTTTCTTCTTTAGATATTTTCTGTGGTGTTCATCAAAACTTTTAGTTTCGTCTATATTCTATTCCTGTTTTTTAGTTTGGTGCTTTTTTTATCATTTTGTTCCTTTTTTTGTTCTTGCTTCTTTGATTCTGATGTCTTCCTATACTTTGTCGTAGTTTGACAAAAGTTGTTTCTATTTTTTAGACTCTATTTCATTCTTCTTGTTTTCTTCTGTCTATGATTCGTCACATATCCGTTGGTTTGAATTTATCCTTGTACCTTGTGACGGATTTTTCCTATTGTTTCTTGGTATTCTACATCTATCTCTAAAATCAGTTATTTCTTTTCCTTCTAAGTTCTGGTTCTGTTAGTGGTTTTTCTCGACTCTTTCTTCCACCTTTGTCACATTACTTTTCTTCTTTAGATATTTTCTGTGGTGTTGATCAAAACTTTTAGTTTCGTCTATGTTTTATTCGTGTTTTTTAGTTTGGTGCTTTTTTTATCATTTTGTTCCTTTTTTTGTTCTTGCTTCTTTGATTCTGATGTCTTCCTATACTTTGTCGTAGTTTGACAAAAGTTATTTCTATTTTTTAAACTCTATTTTATTCTTCTTGTTTTCTTCTGTCTATGATTCGTCACATATCCGTTGGTTTGAATTTATCCTTGTACCTTGTGACGGATTTTTCCTATTGTTTCTTGGTATTCTACATCTATCTCTAAAATCAGTTATTTCTCTTCCTTCTAAGTTCTGGTTCTGTTAGTGGTTTTTCTCGACTCTTTCTTCCACCTTTGTCACATTACTTTTCTTCTTTAGATATTTTCTGTGGTGTTGATCAAAACTTTTAGTTTCGTCTATGTATTATTCGTGTTTTTTAGTTTGGTGCTTTTTTTATCATTTTGTTCCTTTTTTTGTTCTTGCTTCTTTGATTCTGATGTCTTCCTATACTTTGTCGTAGTTTGACAAAAGTTATTTCTATTTTTTAAACTCTATTTTATTCTTCTTGTTTTCTTCTGTCTATGATTCGTCACATATCCGTTGGTTTGAATTTATCCTTGTACCTTGTGACGGATTTTTCCTATTGTTTCTTGGTATTCTACATCTATCTCTAAAATCAGTTATTTCTCTTCCTTCTAAGTTCTGGTTCTGTTAGTGGTTTTTCTCGACTCTTTCTTCCACCTTTGTCACATTACTTTTCTTCTTTAGATATTTTCTGTGGTGTTGATCAAAACTTTTAGTTTCGTCTATGTATTATTCGTGTTTTTTAGTTTGGTGCTTTTTTTATCATTTTGTTCCTTTTTTTGTTCTTGCTTCTTTGATTCTGATGTCTTCCTATACTTTGTCGTAGTTTGACAAAAGTTATTTCTATTTTTTAAACTCTATTTTATTCTTCTTGTTTTCTTCTGTCTATGATTCGTCAGATATCGGTTGGTTTGAATTTTTCGTATTTTTCCTTGGTATTCTACATCTGTCTCCAAAACAAGTTATTTCTCTTCTTTCTAGGTTCTGCTTCTGTCAGTGGTTTTTTTTACTCTGTCTTCCACTTTTGTCACTCTGCTTTTCTTCCTTATTGTCTGTGGTGTTTATCAAATCTCCTAGTTTCGTCTACGTTCTATGTCTTCCTATATGTCTTCCCATACTTTGTTGTAGTTTGACAAAAGTTCTATCTATTTTTTAAACGATCTTTAATTCTTCTTGTGTTCTTCTGCCTATGATTGATTTGATTTATCTTTGTATCTTGTGACGAATGTTTCCTATTTTTCTTTGGTGTTTTATATCGATCTTCAAAATCAGTTAATTCTCTTCTTTCTAGTTTCTTCATCTGTCCGCAGGTTTTTTGACTTTTTCTTCCAATTTGTCAGTTTGCTTTTCGAGTTTATTATCTGTGGTGTTCATCAGAATTTCTTAGTTTCGTCTACATTCTTTTGTGTTTTTCAGTTTGGTGCTTCTTTTATCAATGTAATCCTTTGTTTTGTTCTTGTTTCTTTGATTTTGATGACATCCAGTGCTTGGTCATAGCTTGACAAACGTTCCGTCTATTTTTTGGATTCTGTTTAATCCATATTGTGTTTTTCTGCCTATGATTCGTTACATCTCCTCTGCTTTGAATTTATCTTTGTGTCTTGTGACGAATTTTTCGTATTTTTCCTTGGTATTCTACATCTGTCTCCAAATCAAGTTATTTCTCTTTTTTCTAGGTTCTGCTTCTGTCAGTAGTTTTTTTGATTCTGTCTTCCACTTTTGTCACTTTGCTTTTCTTCTTTATTGTCTCAGGTGTTTATCAAATCTCCTAGTTTCGTCTACGTTCTACTTGTGTTTTTTAGTTTGGTGCTGTTTTTATCATTGTGTTGCATTTTTTGTTCTAGTTTCCTTGACTTTGATGTCTTCCTAGACTTCGTAGTAGTTTGACAAAAGTTCTATCTATTTGTTAGACGACCTTTAATTCTTCTTGTGTTCTTCTGCCTATGATTGATTTGATTTATCTTTGTATCTTGTGACGAATGTTTCCTATTTTTCTTTTGTATTTTATATCCATCTTCAAAATCAGTTAATTCTCTTCTTTGTAGTTTCTTCATCTGTTCGCAGGTTTTTTGACTTTATCTTCCACTTTTGTCAGTTTGCTTTTCGACTTTATTATCTATGGTGTTCATCAGAATTTCTTAGTTTCGTCTACATTCTTTTGTGTTTTTCAGTTTGGTGCTTCTTTTATCATTGTAATCCTTTTTTTGTTCTTGTTTCTTTGATTGTGATAATCTCCTGTGCTTGGTCATAGTTTGACAAACGTTCCATCTGTTTTTTGGATTCTGTTTAATCTATATTGTGTTTTTCTGCCTATGATTCGTTACATATCCTCTGCTTTGAATTTATCTTTGTGTCTTGTGACGAATTTTTCGTATTTTTCCTTGGTATTCTACATCTGTCTCCAAATCAAGTTATTTTTCTTCTTTCTAGGTTCTGCTTCGGTCAGTAGTTTTTTTGATTCTGTCTTCCACTTTTGTCACTTTGCTTTTCTTCCTTATTGTCTGTGGTGTTTATCAAATCTCCTAGTTTCGTCTACGTTCTACTTGTGTTTTTTAGTTTGGTGCTGTTTTTATCATTATGTTGCTTTTTTTGTTCTAGTTTCCTTGACTTTGATGTCTTCCTATACTTTGTTGTAGTTTGACAAAAGTTCTATCTATTTGTTAGACGATCTTGAATTCTTCTTGTGTTCTTCTGTCTATGATTGATTTGATTTATCTTTGTATCTTGTGACGAATGTTTCCTATTTTTCTTTGGTGTTTTATATCGATCTTCAAAATCAGTTAATTCTCTTCTTTCTAGTTTCTTCATCTGTCCGCAGGTTTTTTCACTATTTCTTCCACTTTTGTCAGTTTGCTTTTCGACTTTATTATCTGTGGTGTTCATCAGAATTTCTTAGTTTCGTCTACATTCTTTTGTGTTTTTCAGTTTGGTGCTTCTTTTATCATTGTAATCCTTTTTTGTTCTTGTTTCTTTGATTGTGATCATTTCCTATGCTTGGTCATAGTTTGACAAACGTTCCATCTGTTTTTTGGATTCTGTTTAATCCATATTGTGTTTTTCTGCCAATGATTCGTTACATATCCCCTGCTTTGAATTTATCTTTGTGTCTTGTGACGAATTTTTCGTATTTTTCCTTGGTATTCCAGATCTGTCTCCAAAACAAGTCATTTCTCTTCTTTCTAGGTTCTGCTTCTGTCAGTAGTTTTTTTTGATTCTGTCTTCCACTTTTGTCACTTTGCTTTTCTTCCTTATTGTCTGTGGTGTTTATCAAATCTCCTAGTTTCGTCTACGTTCTACTTGTGTTTTTTAGTTTGGTGCTGTTTTTATCATTGTGTTGCTTTTTTTGTTCTACTTTCCTTGACTTTGATGTCTACCTATACTTTGTTGTAGTTTGACAAAAGTTCTATCTATTTTTTAAACGATCTTTAATTCTTCTTGTGTTCTTCTGCCTATGATTGATTTGATTTATCTTTGTATCTTGTGACGAATGTTTCCTATTTTTCTTTGGTGTTTTATATCGATCTTCAAAATCAGTTAATTCTCTGGTTTCTAGTTTCTTCATCTGTCCGCAGGTTTTTTGACTTTTTCTTCCACTTTTGTCAGTTTGCTTTTCGATTTTATTATCTGTGGTGTTCATCAGAATTTCTTAGTTTTGTCTACATTCTTTTGTGTTTTTCAGTTTGGTGCTTCTTTTATCATTGTAATCCTTTTTTTGTTCTTGTTTCTTTGATTGTGATTATTTCCTGTGCTTGGTCATAGTTTGACAAACGTTCCATCTGTTTTTTGGATCCTGTTTAATCCATATTGTGTTTTTCTGCCTATGATTCGTTACATATCCTCTGCTTTGAATTTATCTTTGTGTCTTGTAACGAATTTTTCGTATTTTTCCTTGGTATTCTAGATCTGTCTCTAAAATCAGTTATTTCTCTTCTTTCTAGGTTCTGCAACTGTCAGTAGTTTTTTTGATTCTGTCTTCCACTTTTGTCACTTTGCTTTTCTTCTTTATTGTCTGTGGTGTTTATCAAATCTCCTAGTTTCGTCTACGTTCTACTTGTGTTTTTTAGTTTGGTGCTTGTTTTTATCATTGGGTTGCATTTTTTGTTCTTGTTTCTTTGATTTTGATGTCTTCCTAGACTTCGTAGTAGTTTGACAAAAGTTCTATCTATTTGTTAGACGACCTTTAATTCTTCTTGTGTTCTTCTGCCTATGATTGATTTGATTTATCTTTGTATCGTGTGACGAATGTTTCCTATTTTTCTTTGGTGTTTTATATCTATCTTCAAAATCAGTTAATTCTCTTCTTTCTAGTTTCTTCATCTGTCAGCGGGTTTTTTCACTATTTCTTCCACTTTTGTCGGTTTGCTTTTCGGCTTTATTATCTGTGGTGTTCATCAGAATTTCTTAGTTTCGTCTACATTCTTTTGTGTTTTTCACTTTGGTGCTTCTTTTATCATTGTAATCCTTTTTTTGTTCTTGTTTCTTTGATTGTGATGATTTCCTGTGCTTGGTCATAGTTTGACAAAGTTCCATCTGTTTTTTGGATTCTGTTTAATCCATATTGTGTTTTTCTGCCTATGATTCGTTACATATCCTCTGCTTTGAATTTATCTTTGTGTCTTGTGACGAATTTTTCGTATTTTTCCTTGGTATTCCAGATCTGTCTCCAAAACAAGTTATTTCTCTTCTTTCTAGGTTCTGCTTGTCAGTAGTTTTTTTGATTCTGTCTTCCACTTTTGTCACTTTGCTTTTCTTCCTTATTGTCTGTGGTGTTTATCAAATCTCCTAGTTTCGTCTACGTTCTACTTGTGTTTTTTAGTTTGGTGCTGTTTTTATCATTGTGTTGCTTTATTTGTTCTAGTTTCCATGATTTTGATGTCTTCCTATACTTTGTTGTAGTTTGACAAAATTTCTATCTATTTGTTAGACGATCTTTAATTCTTCTTGTGTTCTTCTGCCTATGATTGACTTGATTTATCTTTGTATCGTGTGACGAATGTTTCCTATTTTTCTTTGGTGTTTTATATCTATCTTCAAAATCAGTTAATTCTCTTCTTTCTAGTTTCTTCATCTGTCAGCAGGTTTTTTCACTATTTCTTCCACTTTTGTCAGTTTGCTTTTCGACTTTATTATCTGTGGTGTTCATCAGAATTTCTTAGTTTCGTCTACATTCTTTTGTGTTTTTCAGTTTTGATATCTTCCTATATTTTGCACGTAGTTTGCCAAACATTCGATCCATTTTTAGACTCTTAAAACTCTCTAGATACTTTGTGTAACAATTTATCTATTTCCTCACCAAAGGTTTTTTAATAGATAATAATTTCGTCATTAGTTGAGAATAGTAAGAGTAATCACTAGAATGTAGAGGGGTGGGTGGGTGGGGCTATTGCTTGTTCCTTTTCTCAATTTTTCCCTTCCAGACTCCGAAGCCACCTCTCCGTCGGCATCTACAACGAGCACTCCGAGCTCGCCGGCGTCCTCTGCCTCTGCTGCTACCCCAACATCCCCGCCCTGCCCCCCTGGGACTGGGAGCACTGGCTGGCCGCCAAATACGAAATCATCGACATGCTCCCCCTCACCACCCTCTGGATCCACTACGCCGTCTGGGACCGCCGCTACACCACCCTCTTCCTCAAGCCCCTCCTCCAGTGGGTCTACCAAACCTACGAACCCCTCGAAAACGTGCTCATGGTGTGTCCCCCCGGCATCAAGCGCCTCGACTTCATCGAAGAGTACGCCACACGACAGCTCCCCGTGGGCCACCTCTTCGTCCTCAAGAGCCAGAGCCTCTACATCACCCAGAAGAACGACTTCGTGGCCCACTACGTCATCCGGCGCGCCGTGGAGGAGGACAACGACGACCTGGTGGCCATCATCCCCGAAGTGGTGGAAGAAACCTACGGCCACTACTACATCTCGGAGATTCTGAGCAACGAGGAGTCCGAGAGGCAGATCATAGTGGCGGAGCACAAGGGGTGCGCTGTGGGGGTGCTGTGTCTCAACGAGGTGGTCAATTATGACTTGCTGAACGAGGAGTTCGAGCTGGTGCCGTACAATGGGTTGAAGAAGCACAACGTGGCGGACGAGGTGGCGAAGTCGGCGGCGGGGAGTGCGACGATGTTGCCGACGCTGGAGGAGTAAGTATTCGGTGGGTTAGTTACATGGGGTTGATGGTGGGGCGGAGTGCAGTAGCACGGAGCACCTGTCGGCGATCACCCTCACGGAAGAAGTCAAAGAAGAGGAGGAGAAAGTCGAGGAAGACAATATTTCGGACGACGATTTCTCCCTGGTGAATTTGTCGTCGTCTTTGATACTCAATTTCTTGTACGAGGAAGAAGATATAAGTGAACACATGTCTCCAACTGGGAGCGCCACTAGTATAGAGAGCCACTTTAGCGCGGTGGTCCTCAATGAAGAATACGAAGATCACCTGTACAACGACAGGGGGGCTGACAATATAGAAGAAGACCGCCGACTAAGACGTAAAGGTAAAACTTGATGGTGTCACCATCCACCATAACAGCTACTAATTTATTTGAGTCTCATACATATTGGTGAAATAGTGGTGTACAACAAGGGTTAGATCTTGGACAGCTGTTATTTATAAGGTTTTTCAATGATATCTGTGGATACTTTAATTGTAAATTCTATGTTAAGATGACCTTAAGATTGTTAATGTTATTAGTTCGACTGTTTTCACCTGCACGATAACATTGACTCATTTTTCAATATTGTTCCAAAAATTGACTTACTGTCAACAGATCTAAATGTAATGTTATGTCTTTAATTAGGAAAACACAGCCAATAGTATTTCGCCACATCATAAATGGTACAATTTTGGATCGATGTGATCAATTTAAACACCTAGGTGTAGTTATAGACACTATGGTTTTTTTTATGAGGTGAAAAATCACGCAACCCAAAAAACACACTGATAGTTGATGAGCCGATTTCCTTTTTTTTCAATTTTGCACAGTATCCTGTTAAATTTTGACACGTGTTGCATGAAAATCAACAAGTTGTTTTCCTCATTCTCTATCACATTATTTTATAACCTAAAATTTTTCGTCCTTCAATGATTGAATTCGTGTATGTTGGGTTGCATAATTTTATGCCCGTTTAAAAAATTAACGATAACTAATACTAATATCATGTTTCACAGTCTTTACAAAAAATTTAAGGCGAACTTGATGGTTAAATTTAACGAACACCCAGTAGATTTATTGAAAATGTTGACAACAAAGTTCAAAATTATGATTACCAAAACTTATTTTATTTACTGTAAACTGGGACTTGCATTCTGTTTTGAGAAGTGGTAGAATTAAAGCTAAATTTCGTATAAAGTAGACACAATGACGTACAATTGTAAACACCGCCCTTCTTCTCCGGGCCAATGAAATGATTTATTAAGGTGGAGCTTTTGCAAGTGGGAGGAGCATCGGTAATTTTGCTTTTTAAATTTAAATTCTCACGTCGGTATGCTTATTTATTTAACACCAGCTTCGTACTTTCTAGATACTTTGTTTAACAATTTATCAATTTTCTCACCAACGGTTTAACAGATTTGCCAAGATTTTCATAAAATCGTAACTTGTCATTAATTAACAGTAGTAAAAGTAGTCACCAGAATGAAAAGAGGGTGAGTGGGTGGGGTTATTGTTTCCTTATAAAAGACTCTATAGGAAAAAATAAACTTAGCCCCGCCCACCCACCTGTCATCTCATTCTTTTTTATTTTATCTGAAATAAGAAATACATCTTATAGCAAAATAATATTACTTCCCATTTCCAATCTCCTGAAGAACAAATAATTGACCCCGCCCACCCACCCTGCCTCCATTTCAGTGATTGCTTTTATCCGGACCGAATGAAAGTTGGATCTTTATTTAATGAAAATCAATGTTGAATATTTTTAAATAAAGTTCAAAACGATAATCAAATAATAATCTAGGATTACACTTTTTATAAAATTTCATTTTTTTAAGTTTCAAGTTTTTTCGAAAAACGACTGCGGTCAGCGTTTACACTTACATAGTACACAAATAAATTGCGTAAGGTAGACACAATGAGATACACCGGGCCAATGAAATGATCTATTAAGGTGGAGCTTTTGCAAGTGGGAGGAGCATCAGTAATTTTGTTTTTTAAATATGACTCTCACGTCGGCTAATAATATAATAACGTTGTCATCAATTAACAATAGAAAGAGTCGTCACTAAAATGAAGAGGGGGTGGGTGGGCGGGGCTATTGCTTGCTTATGAAAGACTAAAGGAAACAATAAACTTAGCCCCGCCCACCCACCCGTTCTCTAATCGTTTTTGCATCTGAAATAAAAAATAAATCTTATAGCAAATAGTGTAACATTATGTTGGAGGTTATTTTTTCTTTTTTTTTGCAGCCTATTCTAATAGTTCCCATTCTCATTCAACAGAAGAATTTTATATTAACCCCGGCCACCCTCCCCGCCTCTATTTTAGTGATTGATTTTAACTGGTCCGAATGAAATGTGGCTCTTTTAGAAAACAGAAATAAAATCGTTAGAACGAGAACAGAGCGGGTGGGCGGGACGAGTACCTGCTAAGACAAGACTGATTTGGTAAATGACATACTTTCTAAGAAAATAAAGGGTGGGTGGGCGGGGCTAGTATTTGCTAAGATCAAACTGTGGCAAATGACATAGCCGCTAAGAAAATAGAGGACGGGTGGGCGGGGCTACTGCCTGCTAAGAAAAGACTAAGAGAAAATAAAGATTTAATGAAAACCAATGTTAAAATTCTGAAAATAAAGTTCAAAACGATGTTTTCCCAAAACTTATTTCATTTACCCTAAAATGGGAATTGAATTAATTCTGTTTTGAGAAGCGGTAGAATCTCAGATTTAAAACAAAGTCAAAAGTGACCCCGCCCACTCACCGCTACTCCCTTTTGATCAGTGATTTTATTGGCAAATAACAATCTAGGACTACAATTTTTTTTTAATTTGATTTTTACTAAATTTTTCTTTTTTTCGAAACACGACTTTGTCGTCAGCGTTTACACTAACATAGTAAACAAATAAATTGTGTGTATAGTATGCAATAGAGATCCAATTGTAAACGCCGCCCTCTTTTCTGGGCCAATGAAATGATCTATTAAGGTGGAGCTTTTGTAAGTGGGAGGAGTAATTTTGTTTTTTAAATACCTGTGACTCTCACGTCGGCTAATAATATAATAACGTTGTCATCAATTAACGATAGAAAGAGTCGTCACTAAAATGAAGAGGGGGTGGGTGGGCGGGGCTATTGCTTGCTTATGGAAGACCAAAGGAAAAAGTCAAGCTTAGCCCAGCCCACCCACCCGTTCTCTAACCGTTTTTGCATCTGAAATAAGAAATAAATCTTATAGCAAACAGTATAACAAAAAAAATACGATTGGAGGTTACTTTTTCCTTTTCTTTTTGCGGCCTACGTTCTATTAGCTTCCATTTTCACTCAACAGAAGAACATTATATTAACCCCGCCCACCCACCCCACCTCGATTTTAGTGATTTATTTTATCTACTACGAATGAAGGGTGGATCTTATACTGAATAGAAATAAAATCGTTAGAATGAAAACAGAGCGGGTGGGAGGGCTAGTACCTGCTAAGACAAGACTGATTTGGTAAATGACATACACTCTAAGAAAATAAAGGGCGGGTGGGCGGGGCTAGTACTTGCTAGGAGAAGACTAAAAGAAATGAAGATTTAATGAAAATCAATGTTAAAATTTTGAAAATAAAGTTCAAAACGATGTTTCCCAGAACCTATTTCATTTATCATTATTTATTTAAGGTGGAGCTTTTGCAAGTGGGAGGAGCATCGGTAATTTCGTTTTTTAAATATGACTCTCACGTCGGTATGCTTATTTAACACCAGCTTAATACTTTGTAGATATTTTGTTTAACAATTTTTTTATTCTCTCACCAACGGTTCAACAGATTTGCTTAAGATTCTAATAATATAATAACGTTGTCATCAATTAACGATAGAAAGAGTCGTCACTAAAATGAAGAGGGGGTGGGTGGGCGGGACTATTGCTTTCTTATGAAAGACTAAAGACACAAGTTAAACTTAGCCCCGCCCACCTACCCGTTCTCTAATCGTTTCTTCATTTGAAATAAGAAATAAATCTTAAACCAAATAGTGTGACAAAAAAATTACGATTGGAGGTTATTTTTTTTTCTTTTTTTGCGCCCTACGTTCTATTAGTTCCCACTCTCACTCAACACAAGAACATATAATAAACCCCGCCTCTATTTTAGTGATTGATTTTAACCGGTCTGAATGAAATGTGGCGCCTTTAGAAAACAGAAATAAAAACGTTAGAATGAGAACAAGGCGGGTGGGCGGGGCTAGTATTTGCTAAGAGCAAACTGTGGCAAATGACATAGCCGCTAAGAAAATAGGGGGCGGGTGGGCGGGGTTACTACTTGCTTAGAAAAGACTAAAAGAAAATAAAGATTTAATGACAACCAATGTTAAAATTCTGAAAATAAAGTTCAAAACGATGTCTCCAAAAACTTATTTTATTTACCGTAGAATGGGAATTGAATTCTGTTTTGAGAACCGATAAAATCTCAGATTTAAAACAAAGTCAAAAGTGACCCCGCCCACTCACCGCTATTCCCTTTTGATCAGTGATTTTATTGGCTTTGAGACAAAAGTTGAATTTTATTGACAAATAACAATCTAGAATTACTTTTTTTTTAACTTGATTTTCACCAAATTTTTCTTTTTTTGGAAACACGACTTTGTTGTCAGCGTTTACACTAAAATAATAAACAAATAAATTGTGTACAGTAGGCAATAGAGATCCAATTGCAAACGCCGCCCTCTTTTCGGGCCAATGAAATCATCTATTAAGGTGGAGCTTTTGCAAGTGGGAGGAGTAATTTTGTTTTTTAAATATGACTCTCACGTCGGTTAATAATATAATAACGTTGTCTCAATTAACAATAGAAAGAATCGTCACTAAAATGAAGAGGGGGTGGGTGGGCGGGGCTATTGCTTGCTTATGAAAGACTAAAGAAAAAAGTTAAACTTAGCCCCGCCCACCCACCCGTTCTCTAATCGTTTTTACATCTGAAATAAGAAATAAATCTTATAGCAAACAGTGTAACAAAAAAATTACAATTGGAGGTTATTTTTTCCTTTTTTTTGCAGCCTACGTTCTATTAGTTCCCATTCTCACTCAACAGAAGAACATAACTAACCCCGCCCACCCACCCCGCTTCTATTTTGGTGATTTATTTTGACTCGTCCGAATGAAATGTGGCTCTTTTAGAAAACACAAATAAAATCGTAGGAATGAGAACAAAGCGGGTGGGAGGAGCTAGTACTTGCTAAGGCAAGACTGATTTGGTAAATGACATACTTTCTAAGAAAATAAAGGGTGGGCGGGCGGGGCTAGTATTTGCTAAGATCAAACTGTGGCAAATGACATAGCCGCAAAGAAAATAGAGGGTGGGTGGGCGGGGCTACTACTTGCTAAGAAAAGACTAAAAGAAAATAAAGATTTAATGAAAACCAATGTTAAAATTCTGAAAATAAAGTTCAAAACAATATTTCCCAAAAACTTATTTTATTTACCGTAAAATGGGAATTGAATTCTGTTTTGAAAACTGGTAGAATCTCAGATTTAAAACAAAGTCAAAAGTGATCCCGCCCACTCACCGCTGTTCCCTTTTGATCAGTGATTTTATTGGCTTTGAGACAAAAGTTGAATTTTGTTGACAAATAACAATCTAGGATTACATTTTTTTTTAATTTGATTTTTACTAAATTTTTCTTCTTTTCGAAACACGATAGAGATCCAATTGTAAACGCCGCCCTCTTTTCCGGGCCAATGAAATGATCTATTAAGGTGGAGCTTTTGCAAGTGGGAGGAGTAATTTAGTTTTTTAAATATGACTCTCACGTCGGCTAATAATATAATAACGTTGTCATCAATTAACAATAGAAAGAGTCGTCACTAAAATGAAGAGGGGGTGGGTGGGCGGGGCTATTGCTTGCTTCTGAAAAACTAAAAGAAAAATTAAATTTAGCCCCGCCCACCCACCCGTTCTCTAATCGTTTCTTCATTTGAAATAAGAAATAAATCTTAAACCAAATAGTGTAACAAAAAAATTACGATTGGAGGTTATTTTTTCCTTTTTTTGCAGCCTACGTTCTATTAGTTCCAATTCTTACTCAACAGAAGAACATTATATTAACCCCGCCCACCCACCCCGCCTCTATTTTAGTGATTTATTTTATCTACTACGAATGAAGGGAGGATCTTATACTGAACAGAAATAAAATCGTTACAGTGAGAACGGCGCGGGTGGGCGGGGCTAGTACCTGCTAAGACGAGACTGATTTGGTAGATGACATACATTCTAAAAAAATAAAGGGTGGGTGGGCGGGGCTAGTACTTGGTAAGATAAATCGAATTTTGGCAAATGACTTACATTATGTATTCTCACGACATTTCAACCTGGGCCCATAACCTGTTCTCTTATAATGAATATTTTTCTTCAACAGAAAGCAGGCAAGATAACATGCTCGTGCCCACCTTCTACGGAGAGCCCGACGCCTTCGCCATGGAAATTTGCACGGCGATCCCCGAGCACGAGAACGCCCTCTACTTGCTGTTCGAAGCGGCTTTCGAGTGCTTCCCCGATCGCAGCTACATCGTGACTTCGTCGCCCACCGAGTCCACGGTCTGCTACTTGACGCGCCACTTCGCCAGGGTCGTACCCAGGCACAACTCCGTCTTCAACCACGAACTCTACGTCTTGCACAAGAACGCCGTGTTGGGGCGACTGTGGGCGCGGGTGGCCCAAGTCGAAGATAAAGAGATCATTTCGAGTTTGGTCAGAACGCTGGTGAAGCCGTCTATTATCGACGACATGTTCCGGGAGGCGGTGGATGTTCCTCATGGTCCTTTGAAGGGTTTTACTTTCATGTGCGAGAAACAGGTGATTGGGTGTGCGATTGTGAGTGAGGAGAGCGACCATGAGTATCTGCAGTTGTATTATAATCTGGATGATTGGATGAATACTGGGGAGACGAAGTTTGGGGCAGTGGGGCACGTGGAGCAGTTCCTCGTTTCGCCGATTTTTCAAAGACATATCAAGTTTTTTCTGCGGGAGGTTCATCGGCTGAGTAATTTTGACGATCTGATGTATCGGTTGAAGAGTTTCGATTTCATGTACACCCACAGGTCCATGCCCATTAGTAACGCTATTAATAACATGCTCCCGATTTTGCCCAACGCGATTCCGGAGTATAGTAAGCAGATCACTGAGGAGTACCATCTTCCGGCGGCTTTGAACAAGTACCACCAGCCGTTCGGGCTCTACTTATCCACCAACCGGATCACGAGCATGGTCCGGGTTGAAATTAACTACAGGCTTGTGGTAGTGGGAGCTGGGTCCACCACAATTTCGTTCCTGGAGTCGCTAATCTTCGGCACTAACCCCAACTACATGGTGGTTTTTCCGAACATCACGGTGGTGAGTCCCCACGGGATCGCCTACCATAAACAACCCAGTCCGATTCGGGAGATGGTGTTCGTGGGTGATGGGCACCTGGATCGTCGCTACATGGACTCCATTTGCTTGAGGACCTACGTCCACGTGGTCACTGGGGTCATGACGATGATTGACCGCAAGGAGAAGTTCATTTCGTTGAACGACGACACGCACTTGCCCTACGACTACTTGTTTTTGATGTGTGGGGAGCAGTTCCAGAAGCCCCCGATCAAGAAGAAGGAAATTGTCAAGAAAAGGGTGGATTTTCCGCAGAATGTCTTCATTATTAACACGGAAGCGGACGCTGGGAATGCCTTCAATGCGTTGAAGAATCTGACGGCGAACCAGAAGCAAGGTAACATGGTGGTGTTCGGGCACTACTTGGAAGCTTGTTGTTGTCTGGCGGCCCTTTTGGAGTTCGGTGTCCCGGGAAACAATCTGGTCTACATCGACCCGAGTCCTGACCATATCGTCAAGATGGACCGCCACGACCACTTGACCACCTATTTTAACAACAGTGCCGTGGAAACAGCGGTTTTGGACGAAATTCTCTACCAAGGAGTGACGATCTATCAAGACTACAATTTCGTGGAGTGGCACTTGGACTCCACGAGGAACTTCATCACCTCGGCCAAGTTCGAGAGCAAGTATAAGTTCGTGGAGATCGAGTTGTCGGCGCTTTTTATCTACCACTCGAAGGGGGTGAGTGCGCGGACGTTCCAAGCCATGGCCAGAAGTGGCCTGGTCTTCAATGGTAACCCAAATCTAGAAATCTAGCAAACGTTTCTGGGTGACTTTCTCCCTCTCTTTTTAGGACGCCTGGTCATCGACAAGAACTGCCAGACCAACGACCAGTTCATCTACGGCGCCGGACCTCTGACCATGTACTCGAAGAAGTACCACGCTGAACACTTGATGCACAAGTACTATAATGCTCAAGAGATAGGGTACAATCTAGGGACCGAAATCCGGAAGAAGCTGATCCCGAAGGAGTACTGGGACCCTCCTGCTCGACCCCCTAGGTTTCGCAAACCCGTGGTCCAATACTGCCACTTCCCCGGGAAGCTTCACTACCTGCACGTGTCTAAACCGGGACCTCCGGTCCCTCTGGAAGTCGCTACCATCAAATCTAACTACGTACGTGAATTTCAATCTAGTTTTCGGTCTGTTTTTTGAACACTTTATCATGAAGTATTTCTCACGGTGTTAAAAACTGATTTTTATTAACTAAATTTCGTCTGTTATTTATTTTTTTCACAATTTTTGGAATTTGCAGTTTCACGACTTTCCAATTTTTGATTTTTCAATTTTTAATTGGCAATTTTTCATTCGATTTCTCGATTTTTCAACTTTAAAATTTTTGAATTTTTGTTTCTTCAATTTTGATTTGCAACTTTTTTAGTTTTCATTTTAAACATGCCACAATAATAAGAATTTAAAAAAATGTTTACTTTTCCAATTTTACGAATTAGTATTTTTACATTTTTCGATCTTAAATTTTTCAATTTTTCGATTCTTCAATTTTTTATTTTTTCAAATTTTCGATTTGCAATTTTCCGTTTCGTTTTTTATTTTCTTTATTTTCACACTTGTTCAAGTTTTCGATGTTTAGATTTTATAATTTTTTGTTTTGTCAATTTTTGTTTCTTCGGTTTTTTGATTTACAATTTTTCAATTTTTCATTTTCGTTGTTTTTTTACGATGTGCAACTCTCATTTTTAAATTTTTTTAGTTTTTCGATTTTCCAAATTTTGGATGTTTCAATTTTTCGTGACTTCAATTTATCGGTTTTCAAACTTTCTGATTGTATCATTTTTCTTTTTTCACTGTGAAATTTTTCACTTTTTCAGTTTTACGATTTTAGTGTCTTTTGTGGATCTTTAATTTTTCAATTTTTCAATTTTTCTTCAAATTTTCGATTTGCAATTTTTCGTTTTGGTTTTTTGTTTTATTTATTTTTACAGTTCTTCAAAGTTTCGATGTTTTGATTTTATAATTTTGTGTTTTTTCAATTTCAATTTTTTCAGTTTTTTGTTTCTTCGATTTTTTGACTTAAAATTTTCCAAATTTTTCATTTTTTTTGTTCCTTCTGCGATATGCATTTCTTTCATTTTTTAATTTTTTCAGTTTTTCGATTTTCCAATTTTAGAATGGTTAAATTTTTGGAATTTGCAATTTCACGAGTTTTCAATTTTTAATTTTTCGATTTTCCAGTTTTTCACATCTTCAAATTTTCAGAATTTGGAATTTTACGATTTTTGAGTTTTCAATTTTTCAGTTTCCTGATTTTATAATTTTTTTTTTTTCAAGATGAAATTCAATTTTTCGATTTTTCAATTTTTGATTTGCAATTTTTCAGTTTTTCGAATTTTCCGATTTTTCAAATTTTAATTTTTTTAATTTTTGGTTTCTTCAATTTTTGATTTGCAGTTTTTTTAGTTTAAAATTTTTTTCACTTTTTCAGTTTTACGATTTTAGTGTTTTTACTTTTGTCGAGCTTTAATTTTTCAATTTTTCATTTCTTCAAATTTTCGATTTGCAATTTTTCGTTTTGGTTTTTTATTTTATTTATTTATAGTTTTTCAAAGTTTCGATGTTTTGATTTTATAATTTTGTGTTTTTTCAATTTCAATTTTTCAATTTTTTGTGTCTTCGAATTTTGACTTAAAATTTTTCAATTTTTCATTTTCTTTGTTCCTTCTACGAAATGCATCTCTTTCATTTTTAATTTTTTCAGTTTTTCGATTTTCCAACTTTTGGATGTTTCAATTCTTCAGTTTTCATTTCTTCAAATTTTCCATTTGCAATTTTTGATTTTCTTTATTTTTAGTTTTTCAATTTTTCGGTGTTCTGACTTTATAATTTTTTATTATTTTCAATTTAAATTTTACAGTTTTTCGTTTCTTCAATTTTCTGATTTGCCATTTTTCAATTTTTTATGTTCTTGTTTCTTCAATTTTACGAAATGCAACTCGTCGAGTTTTCATTTTTAAATTCTTTAGTTTTTCGATTTTCCAAATTTTGGATGTTTCAATTTTTCGATTTTTCAATTTTTCGTGTCTTCAATTTATCGGTTTTCAAACTTCCTGATTGTATCATTTTCTTTTTTCACTGTAAAACTTTTGATTTTTTGGATTTTTCAATTTTTCGGTTTTAAATTTTTTTAGTTTTCATTTTAAATATCATAATACTAAGAATTTAAAAACTATTTCACTTTTTCAAATTTACGATTTTAGTATTTTAACAATTTTCCAATTTTTCGATTTTCCAGTTTGTCATTTCTTCAAATTTTCGGAATTTGCAATTTCACGATTTTTGAGTTTTCAATTTTTCAATTTCCTGATTTTATAATTTTTCTTTTTTCACTGTGAAATCAATTTTTGGATTTTTCAATTTTTAATTTGCAATTTTTCAGTTTTTCGAATTTTCCTATTTTTCAAATTTTAATTTTTTTAATTTTTCGTTTCTTGAATTTTTGATTTGCAGTTTTTTTAGTTTAAAAAATTTTTCATTTTTCAGTTTTACGATTTAGTGTTTTTACTTTTGTCGATCTTTAATTTTTCAGTTTTTCATTTCTTTAAATTTTCGTTTTGGTTTTTTATTTTATTTTATTTTATTTAATTTCTCAAAGTTTCGTTGTTTTGATTTTATAATTTTGTGTTTCTTCAATTTCAATTTTTCAATTTTTTGTTTCTTCGATCTTTTGACTTAAAATTTTTCAATTTTTCATTTTCTTTGTTCCTTCTACGATATGCATCTCTTTCATTTTTTAATTTTTTCAGTTTTTCGATTTTCAAACTTTGGGATGTTTCAATTTTTGGAATTTGCAGTTTCACGAGTTTTCAGTTTTTAATTTTTCAATTCTTCAGTTTTTCATTTCTTAAAATTTTCGATTTGCAATTTTTCGTGTCTTCAATTTCTAATTTGCTGATTTTTGAATTTTTCCTTTTTCACTGTGAAATTTTTCAAATATTTCAAAATTTTAAATCTTTTAATTTTCCGTTTCTTGGATTTTAGATTTGCATATTTTTTTTAAATATGTAATAAGGTTTTAAAAATTTCTTCACTTTTTCAATTTTACGATTTCAGTATTTTTACTTTTTTTGAGTTCTAATTTTTCAATTTTTCGTTTCGGTTTTTTATTTTCTTTATTTTAACAGTTTTTCAAATTTTCATTGTTCCGATTTTATAATTTCTTGTTTATTTGATTTATTAAATTTTACAATTTTCCGATTTGGCATTTTTCAGTTTTTTATTTTTTGTTTCTTCAATTTTACGAAATGCAAGTCTGAGTTTTGATTTTTAAATTCGTCAGTCTTTCGATTTTACAACTTTTGGTTGTTTCAATTTTTCGGTATTTTAATTTTCTCATTTGTGTAATTTTCCTTTTTTTCACTGTGGAATTTTTGGATTTTTCAATTTTTCAATTTGTAATTTTTCGGTTTTTAAATTTCGATGTTTCAACGTTTAAATTTTTTGTTTTTTTCACTTTTTCGATTTTCTGATTTTTTTAATTTTTCCATTTTTCAATTATTTAAAACTTTTTCATTTATTCCTCTTTTCAATTTCTCAATTTTTAATTTTTCAATTTTTTGTTTCCGTTTTTTATTTTCTTTATTTTTACATTTTTTTCGATTTTTCGGTGTTCCTATTTTTTAATTTTTTGCTTAATTTTTTTCAATTATCGTTTCCTCAATTTTTCAATTTGCAATTTTAAAAATGTTTCAGTTTATCGATTTTCAATCTTCTGATTTTATCATTTTTCTTTTTTTCAATGTGAAATTTTTCAATTTTTGGATTTTTCAATTTTAAGATATTTTCGTGTTTTACTTTTTTCAACTGCAGATTTTTCAGTTTCATGACTTTCCAGTTTCTCGTTTCTTCCAATTTTGAATTTTTCCATTTTTCAATTATTGGCTTTTAAAACTTTTTCATTTATTCCTATTTTCAATTTCTCAATTTTTAATTTTTCAATTTTTCGATTTTTAATTTTTCAATTTTTCGATTTTTAATTTTCCAATTTTTTAACTTTTCGAAAAAAAATAATACAAAAATTACAAAAATTGTAAAATTGAAAAATCAAAAATGGAAAAACGAAAAAGCATAAAATGACAACTCTGAAAAATCCAAAAATTGGAAATCAAGAGTTTTAAAAATTTAAGAAACGAAAACTGAACAATCTAGAGATTAAAAAATTTAATTAAATAAATCGAAAATGGCGTAATTGGAAGTACAAAAATTGCAAATTGAAAAATCATCGAATTGAAAAATTGAAGCTTGAAAATTCGAAAAACTGAATAAAGAAAATCTAATGAAACCGAAAGGAACTTTGAAGAGATAAAGGAAATGAAAAACTGTGACATAAAATCCGGAAAATGAAAAATAAAAATCAAGTTGAAAAACTGAAACGAAATATTGAAAAATCGAAAATCAAAAAATGCAAAAATATAAAACGGAGACTTTGAAAAATCCAAAAATTGGAATCAACAGTTTGAACAATTTAAGAAACGAAAACTGAAAAATCTAAAGATTAATACTTAAAAATTGGAAAATTGGAAAATCATGGAATTGAAAAATCGGAGATTGAAAATTCGAAAAATTGAATAAAGGAAATCTAATAAAACCGAAAGGAACATTGAAAAGATAAAGGAAATGAAAAACTGTGACATAAAATCCGGAAAATGAAAAATAAAAATCAAGTTGAAAAATTGAAAAATCGAAAATCAAAAAACGAAAAACTATAAAACGAAAACTTTGAAAAATCCAAAAACTGGAATCAAGAGTTTGAAAAATTTAAGAAACAAAAACTGAAAAATCTAAAGATTAAAACTTAAAAATTGTAAAATTGGAAAATCATGGAATTGAAAAATCGAAGATTGAAAATTCGAAAAATTGAATAAAGAAAATCTAATACAACCGAAAGGAACATTGAAAAGATAAAGGAAATGAAAAACTGTGTCATAAAATCCAGAAAATGAAAAATAAAAATCAGGTTGAAAAGTTAAGGAAACGAAAAACTGAAAAATCGAAAATCAAAAAACGAAAAAATATAAAACGAAAACTTTGAAAAATCCAAAAACTGGAATCAAGAGTTTGAAAAGTTTAAAAAACGAAAACTGAAAAATCTAAAGATTAAAACTTAAAAATTGGAAAATTGGAAAATCATGGAATTGAAAAATCGAAGATCGAAAATTCGAAAAATCGAATAAAGAAAATATAATAAAACCGAAAGGAACATTGAAAAGATAGAGGAAATGAAAAACTGTGACAAAACCGGAAAATGAAAAATAAAAATTAGGTTGAAAAATTGAGGAAACGAAAAACTGAAAAATCGAAAATCAAAAAACGAAAAAATATAAAATGAAAACTTTGAAAAATCCAGAAACTGGAATCAAGAGTTTGAAAAATTTAAGAAACGAATACTGAAAAATCTAAAGATTAAAACTTAAAAATTGTAAAATTGGAAAATCATGGAATTGAAAAATCGAAGATCGAAAATTCGAAAAATTGAATAAAGGAAATCTAATTAAACCGAAAGGAACATTGAAAAGATAAAGGAAATGAAAAACTGTGTCATAAAATCCGGAAAATGAAAAATGAAAATCAATTTGAAAAATTGAGGAAACGAAAAATTGAAAACTCGAAAATCAAAAAACGAAAAAATATAAAACGAAAACTGTTGAAAAATCCAAAAAATGGAATCAAGAGTTTGAAAAATTTAAGAAACGAAAACTGAAAAATCTAAAGATTAAAACTTAAAAATTGGAAAATTGGAAAATCATGGAATTGAAAAATCGAAGATCGAAAATTCGAAAAATCGAATAAAGAAAATATAATAAAACCGAAAGGAACATTGAAAAGATAGAGGAAATGAAAAACTGACAAAATCCGGAAAATGAAAAATAAAAATCAGGTTGAAAAATTGAGGAAACGAAAAACTGAAAAATCGAAAATCAAAAAACGAAAAAATATAAAATGGAAACTTTGAAAAATCCAAAAACTGGAATCAAAAGTTTGAAAAATTTAAGAAACGAAAACTGAAAAATCTAAAGATTAAAACTTAAAAATTATAAAATTGGAAAATCATGGAATTGAAAAATCGAAGATCGAAAATTCGAAAAATCGAATAAAGAAAATATAATAAAACCGAAAGGAACATTGAAAAGATAAAGGAAATGAAAAACTGTGACATAAAATCCGTAAATAAAAAATAAAAATCAGGTTGAAAAATTGAGGAAACGAAAAACTGAAAAATCGAAAATCAAAAAACGAAAAAATATAAAATGAAAACTTTGAAAAATCCAAAAACTGGAATCAAGAGTTTGAAAAATTTAAGAAACGAAAACTGAAAAATCTAAAGATTAAAACTTAAAAATTGTAAAATTGGGAAATCATGGAATTGAAAAATCGAAGATTGAAAATTCGAAAAATTGAATAAAGGAAATCTAATAAAACCGAAAGGAACATTGAAAAGATAAAGGAAATGAAAAACTGTAACATAAAATCCGTAAATGAAAAATAAAGATCAGGTTGAAAAATTGAGGAAACGAAAAACTGAAAAATCGAAAATCAAAAAACGAAAAAATATAAAATGAAAACTTTGTAAAATCCAAAAACTGGAACCAAGAGTTTGAAAAATTTAAGAAACGAAAACTGAAAAATTGGAAAATTGGAAAATCATGGAATTGAAAAATCGCAGATTGAAAATTTGAAAAATTGAATAAAGGAAATATAATAAAATCGAAAGGAACGTTGAAAAGACAAAGGAAATGAAAAACTGTGCCATAAAATCCGGAAATGAAAAATAAAGATCAGGTTGAAAAATTGAGGAAACGAAAAACTGAAAAATCGAAAATCAAAAAACGAAAAAATATAAAACGAAAACTTTGAAAAATCCAAAAACTGGAACCAAGAGTTTGAAAAATTTAAGAAACGAAAACTGAAAAATCTAAAGATTAAAACTTAAAAATTGTAAAATTGGAAAATCATGGAATTGAAAAATCGAAGATCGAAAATTCGAAAAATTGAATAAAGAAAATATAATAAAATCGAAAGGAACATTGAAAAGATGAAGGAAATGAAAAACTGTGATATAAAATCCGGAAAATGAAAATTAAAAATCAAGTTGAAAAATTCAGGAAACGAAAAATTGAAAAATCAAAAAACGAAAAAATATAAAATGAAAACTTTGAAAAATCCAAAAACTGGAATCAAGAGTTTGAAAAATTTAAGAGACGAAAACTGAAAAATCTAAAGATTAAAATTAAAAATTGTAAAATTGGAAAATCATGGAATTGAAAAATCGAAGACTGAAAATTCTAAAAATTGAATAAAGCAAACTTAATAAAACCGAAAGGAACATTGAAAAGATAAAGGAAATGAAAAACTGTGACACAAAATCCGGAAAATGAAAAATGAAAATCAATTTGAAAAATTGAGGAAACGAAAAATTGAAAAATCGAAAATCAAAAACGAAAAAATATAAAATGAAAACTTTGAAAAATCCAAAAACTGGAATCAAGAGTTTGAAAAATTTAAGAAACGAAAACTGAAAAATCTAAAGATTAAAACTTAAAAATTGTAAAATTGGAAAATCATGGAGTTGAAAAATCGAAGATCGAAAATTCGAAAAATCGAATAAAGAAAATATAATAAAACCGAAAGGAACATTGAAAAGATAAAGGAAATGAAAAACTGTAACATAAAATCCGTAAATGAAAAATAAAGATCAGTTTGAAAAATTGAGGAAACGAAAAACTGAAAAATCGAAAATCAAAAAACGAAAAAATATAAAATGAAAACTTTGTAAAATCCAAAAACTGGAACCAAGAGTTTGAAAAATTTAAGAAACGAAAACTGAAAAATCTAAAGATTAAAACTTAAAAATTGGAAAATTGGAAAATCATGGAATTGAAAAATCGAAGATCGAAAATTCGAAAAAATGAATAAAGAAAATCTAATAAAACCGAAAGGAACATTGAAAAGATAAAGGAAATGAAAAACTGTCATAAAATCCGGAAAATGAAAAATAAAAATCAAGTTGAAAAATTGAGGAAACGAAAAATTGAAAAATCGAAAATCAAAAAAGAAAAAATATAAAACGAAAACTTTGAAAAATCCAAAAACTGGAATCAAGAGTTTGAGAAATTTAAGAAACGAAAACTGAAAAATCTAAAGATTAAAACTTAAAAATTGTAAAATTGGAAAATCATGGAATTGAAAAATCGAAGATTGAAAATTCGAAAAATTGAATAAAGAAAATCTAATACAACCGAAAGGAACATTGAAAAGATAAAGGAAATGAAAAACTGTGACATAAAATCCGGAAAATGAAAAATAAAAATCAAGTTGAAAAATTGAAAAATCGAAAATCAAAAAACGAAAAACTATAAAACGAAAACTTTGAAAAATCCAAAAACTGGAGTCAAGAGTTTGAAAAATTTAAGAAACAAAAACTGAAAAATCTAAAGATTAAAACTTAAAAATTGTAAAATTGGAAAATCATGGAATTGAAAAATCGAAGATCGAAAATTCGAAAAATTGAATAAAGGAAATATAATAAAACCGAAAGGAACATTGAAAAGATAAATGAAATGAAAAACTGTGACATAAAATCCGGAAAATGAAAAATAAAAATCAATTTGAAAAATTGAGGAAACGAAAAATTGAAAAATCGAAAATCAAAAAACGAAAAAGTATAAAATGACAACTTTGAAAAATCAAAAATTAGAAATCAATAGTTTGAAAAATTTAAGAAACGAAAACTGAAAAATCTAAACATTAAAACTTAAAAATTGGAAAATTGGAAAATCATGGAATTGAAAAATCGAAGATAGAAAATTTGAAAAACTGAATAAAGGAAATATAATAAAATCGAAAGGAACATTGAAAAGATAAAAGAAATGAAAAATTGTGAAATAAAATCGAGAAAATGAAAAGTTAACTAATAAAACATACAGACGACGACAGACAGACAGGCAGACAGACAAACATACTGACAGACAGACGGAAACGGGAGACCACTTTTTTTTAATAAAAGGCAGTTTTTAACACAGATATACCACGACAATACTTCAAATTGTTCAAAATTCATCCAGACTTTATGGAAATTTCCCCATTCAGTCCATATTTAGGGTCGAGTCCTGACCAGCGGCGACTGCAAAAAACTAGACCAACGCGGCTTTTTCCGCCTCCACTTGAACCAGTTCCAGTCCATCGAAACCATAACCTGCCTAAGCAAATCCGTGAGTAAACCTTGAGCCTCTCTTAACCCTGCCCAAAGCCCATTCCTTTCCGCAACCTCATCTCCCTGTGGGGCCACCACGAGGTCCTCCTCAACCACCTCTTCCTGCGCTACGACCTCAACATGATCCCCGACCTCTACGACTACTTCAACCAGCCTTGGGCGGCGGCGCTCTACCACCGGAACTTCCCCAAAGTGTGGGAGGACGTCTACGAGATTTTGGTCAACGGGGAAACCGTCGAAGGGGTGAAGCTGATCGATGAGGTTCGGAAGAGGTTGGAAGAAAACGAGTGGAAACCGGTGGGTGTTACTCTCGTTCCTTCTCATCTAGTCATCTTATACTTGTTGGTTTCTAGTTGACCAAGATGCAGGCCGACGAAATCGAAGAGATCTGCCGCGACAGCCACCTGATCCCCGTCATCGAGAAGAAAATACTGAGTTTCTTGCACAAAAGCTACATCTATTTGCCCATGTACACCCATCAGTTGTTGCTGGTGCGGTGGATTTTGCACCAGATCAAGACGAGTCCGCTGTTTGTGAAGACTATGTACGATGTTAAGAAGGAAAGGCAGCCGACTAGCATTTTTTAGAATGGTCTAGGTGGTTGTGAATAAATGTAGTAGAATTATGGTGTTTTTTATCGTTGTGAATGTTTAGCAAACTGGATTTGCGTGAAGTGCGTAGTTGTTTGGAAGAATGTGCGTTTTTTGTTGATTAAATTTTGATCAATATTCTGTTACTGGGTTTCGTAATATCACGAAACAAGGGAAAGTGGTCATTAATTGGATGGTTTTAGCGGAAAGACCTCTGGTAACCTTGACCGGTTTGGTTCGCAGTTTCAGCTAACCTAGTTCCCCACTCAACGTTGTTATAATTTGTTTATCTATTTAGTGTTTTTTGGTGTATTTTATCTGAAGACTTTTTTAGTACGATTACTATTTGTAAAAAAAATTTCTATTATTTTGAAAATTTTGATCTTCATTTTTTTTATTATGATTTTTTAGGCTCACCATTTATTTAGACTTCTGGTGCTTCATTTTGAAGAAGTTGAAAACATTTTGGGGAGCCCTCGTGTTTTATTATATTAAAAAATCAAGAAAATCTTGAGATCTCTGGGGTTTTATCATTCTTTTTTAATCTAAAGAATTTTCGGAATACCAGGTGTTTTATCTTTTAAAGTGCGCAAAATCTTGGAAATTACTGGAATTTTAATTCTTTACAGATCTTGAAACAATTACAAGAACCCTTATTAGTGTTTTAGTTTTTTTTTTTAAGAATCGATGACCTTTGTGTTTTTTTATTTTTTTTTTTTGAAGTCCAAAGATTCAAATCCCTGATAATTAATTTTTTTAGAATAATTTGGACCCATGGTGTTTTATTTTTTTAAGAAGTCTAAAAACTTTTTTAGGCCCTTGATGTTTTATTTTTAAAAAGTCCAAAGAATCTCGGAAATCCCTGACATATATATTTTTAAGATGTCTAAAGAATCTCGGGGACCCTGGTTATTTACTTTTTTAAAGAAGTCCAAAGAATCTTGGGAATCCCTGATATTTTATTCTTTGAAAGAAGCCTAAAAGAACGTTAAAAAACCTTGGGGCCCATGGTGTTTTTCAAAGAAGTCTAAAGAATCTTTTAGGCCCCTGGTGTTTTATTTTTAAGAAGTCCAAAAATTATCGAAAATAGCTAATATTTTATTTAATTTTGAAGAAGTCGAAAGAATCTTGGGGAACCCCTGGTTATATATATTTGCATTTTATTTTAAAGATGTCTAAAGAATCTCGGGGGAGTACTGGTTATTTGCTTTTTTAAAGAAGTCCAAAGAATCTTGGGAATCCCTGATGTTTTATTCTTTGAAAGAAGACTAAAAGAACGTTAAAAAATCTTGAGCGCCCATGGTGTTTTTCAAAGAAGTCTAAAGAATCTTTTAGGCCCCTGGTGTTTTATTTTTAAGAAGTCCAAAAATTATCGAAAAATCTAATATTTTATTTTATTTTGGAGAAGTCTAAAGAACCTCGGGAAACCCCTGGTTACATATATTTTCATTTTATTTTAAAGATGTCTAAAGAATCTCGGGGCAGTCCTGGTTATTTACTTATTTTAAAGAAGTCCAAAGAATCTTGGGAATTCCTGATATTTTGTTCTTTGAAAGAAGCCTAGAAGAACGATACAGAATCTTGAGGGTCCATGGTGTTTTTCAAAGAAGTCTAAAGAATCTTTTAAGCCCCTGTTGCTTTATTTTTAAGAAGTCCAAAAATTATCGAAAATCCCTAATATTTTATTTTATTTTGAAGAAGTCGAAAGAACCTCGGGGAACCCCTGGTTATATATATTTTCATTTTATTTTAAAGATGTCTAAAGAATCTCGGGGGAGGCCTGGTTATTTACTTTTTTAAAGAAGTCCAAAGAATCTCGGGAATCCGTGATGTTTTATTCTTTGAAAGAAGCCTAGAAGAACGATAAAGACTTTTGAGGGCCCATGGTGTTTTTCAAAGAAGTCTAAAGAATCTTTTAGATCTCTGGTGTTTTATTTTTAAGAAGTCCGAAAAATTATCGAAAATCTGATGTTTTATTCGTAGAAAGAAGCCTAAAAGAACGATAAAGAATCTTGAGGGCCCATGGTGTTTTATTTTTAAGAAGTCCAAAAATTATCGAAATAACAATATTTTATTTTACTTTGAAGTAGTCGAAAGAACCTCGGGGAACCCCTGGTTACATATATTTTCATTTTATTTTAAAGATGTCTAAAGAATCTCGGGGGAGTCCTGGTTATTTATTTTTTTAAAGAAGTCCAAAGAATCTTGGGAATCCCTGATGTATTATTATTTGAAAGAAGCCTAGAAGAACGATAAAAATCTTGAAGGCCCATGGTGTTTTTCAAAGAAGTCTAAAGAATCTTTTAGGCCCCTGGTGTTTTATTTTTAAGAAGTCCAAAAATTTTCGAAAATCCCTAATATTTTATTTTATTTTGAAGAAGTCGAAAGAACCTCGGGGAACTCCTGGTTATATATATTTTCATTTTGTTTTAAAGATGTCTAAAGATTCTCGGGGGAGTCCTGGTTATTTACTTTTTTAAAGAAATCCAAAGAATCTTGGGAATCCCTGATGTTTTATTCGTTGAAAGAAGCCTAAAAGAACGATAAAGAATCTTGAGGGCCCATGGTGTTTTTCAAAGAAGTCTAAAGAATCTTTTAGGTCCCTGGTGTTTTATTTGTAAGAAGTCCAAAGAATATCGAAAATCCTTAATATTTTCTTTTCTTTTGAAGAAGTCGAAAGAATCTCGGGGAACGCCTGATTATATATATTTTCATTTTATTTTAAAGATGTCTAAAGAATCTCGGGGCAGTCCTGGTTATTTACTTTTTTAAAGAAGTCCAAAGAATCTTGGTAATCCCTAATGTTTTATTCTTTGAAAGAAGACTAAAAGAACGATAAAAAAGTCTTGAGCGCCCATGGTGTTTTTCAAAGAAGTCTAAAGAATCTCTTAGGCCCCTGGTGTTTTATTTTTAAGAAGTCCAAAAATTATCGAAAATCCCTAATATTTTATTTTATTTTGAAGAAGTCGAAAGAACCTCGGGGAACCCCTGGTTATATATATTTTCATTTTATTTTAAAGATGTCTAAAGAATCTCGGGGGAGGCCTAGTTATTTACTTTTTTAAAGAAGTCCAAAGAATCTCGGGAATCCGTGATGTTTTATTCTTTGAAAGAAGCCTAGAAGAACGGTAAAAAAGTCTTGAGCGCCCATGGCGTTTTTCAAAGAAGTCTAAAGAATCTCTTAGGCCCCTGGTGTTTTATTTATAAGAAGTCCAAAAATTATCGAAAATCCCTAATATTTTATTTTATTTTGAAGAAGTCGAAAGAACCTCGGGGAACCCCTGGTTATATATATTTTCATTTTATTTTAAAGATGTCTAAAGAATCTCCGTGCAGTCCTGGTTATTTACTTTTTTAAAGAAGTCCAAAGAATCTTGGGAATCCCTGATATTTTATTCTTTGAGAGAAGCCTAGAAGAACGATAAAAATCTTGAAGGCCCATGGTGTTTTTCAAAGAAGTCTAAAGAATCTTTTAGGCCCCTGGTGTTTTATTTTTAAGAAGTCCAAAAATTATCGAAAATCCCTATTATTTTATATTATTTTGAAGAAGTCGAAAGAACCTGGTGGAACCCCTGGTTATATATATTTTCATTTTATTTTAAAGATGTCTAAAGAATCTCGGGGGAGTCCTGGTTATTTATTTTTTTAAAGAAGTCCAAAGAATCTTGGGAATCCCTGATATTTTATTCTTTGAAAGAAGCATAAAAGAACGATAAAGAATCTTGAGGGTCCATGATGTTTTTCAAAGAAGTCTAAATAATCTTTTAGGCCCCTGGTGTTTTATTTGTAAGAAGTCCAAAGAATATCGAAAATCCTTAATATTTTCTTTTCTTTTGAAGAAGTCGAAAGAATCTCGGGGAACGCCTGATTATATATATTTTCATTTTATTTTAAAGATGTCTAAAGAATCTCGGGGCAGTCCTGGTTATTTACTTTTTGAAAGAAGTCCAAAGAATCTTGGGAATCCCTGATGTTTTATTCTTTGAAAGAAGACTAAAAGAACGATAAAAAAGTCTTGAGCGCCCATGGTGTTTTTCAAAGAAGTCTAAAGAATCTCTTAGGCCCCTGGTGTTTTATTTTTAAGAAGTCCAAAAATTATCGAAAATCCCTAATATTTTATTTTATTTTGAAGAAGTCGAAAGAACCTCGGGGAACCCCTGGTTATATATGTTTTCATTTTTTTTAAAGATGTCTAAAGAATCTCGGGGGAGGCCTGGTTATTTACTTTTTTAAAGAAGTCCAAAGAATCTCGGGAATCCGTGATGTTTTATTCTTTGAAAGAAGCCTAGAAGAACGATAAAAAAGTCTTGAGCGCCCATGGTGTTTTTCAAAGAAGTCTAAAGAATCTTTTAGGCCCCTGGTGTTTTATTTTTAAGAAGTCCAAAAATTATCGAAATAATAATAATATTTTATTTTACTTTGAAGAAGTCGAAAGAATCTTGGGGAACCCCTGGATATATATATTTGCATTTTATTTTAAAGATGTCTAAAGAATCTCGGGGGAGTCCTGGTTATTTAGTTTTTTAAAGAAGTCCAAAGAATCTTGGAAATCCCTGATATTTTATTCTTTGAAAGAAGCCTAGAAGAACGATAAAAATCTTGAAGATCCATGGTGTTTTTCAAAGAAGTCTAAAGAATGTTTTAGGCCCCTGGTGTTTTTTTTTAAGAAGTCCAAAAATTATCGAAAATCCCTAATATTTTATTTTATTTTTAAGAAGTCGAAAGAACCTGGAGGAACCCCTGGTTATATATATTTTCATTTTATTTTAAAGATGTCTAAAGAATCTCGGGGGAGTCCTGGTTATTAACTTTTTTAAAGAAGTCCAAAGAATCTTGGGAATCCCTGATGTTTTATTCCTTGAAAGAAGCCTAAAAGGACGTTAAAAAACCTTGGGAGGGCATGGTATTATTCAAAAAAAGTCTGAAGAATCTTTTAGGCCCCTGGTATTTTATTTTTAAGAATTCCAAAGAACATAGAAAATCTGATATTTTATTTTGCTTTGAAGAAGTCGAAAGAATTTCGGGCGACCTCTGG